TTCATTGATGGGCTTGGGGCCTCCTGCCTGCGCTCGGTTTGGTTCGACGAGAGCCTCAAGGAAGTGATATTGGGCATCAGTATCCTCTTTGATGGCATCTAGAACTGGTTCCAAAAGATCGGGAGTGTATTGCATTACTGTTACCGCGGCTTGTGATGCGTCAACAGCAGCCAGGTCAGCAGCTCGGTTGAGGATGACTGCTTTGACCTCGCTGGCCTGCTTTTTTGTAAGGCCTTTGTTTGGCCGCAGAACTTCGGCAATACACGTAAACACAGAGTCCTCCTCTTCTTCATCGTCCAGGTACGTTTCTAGCACTTTGTCATACTGTTGTGCGCTGCGATAGACAGACTTCAACACGCGATAGAATCCAGCCTTCTCGAACAACGGGATGAGAGACTGTGGGTTTGGTGGATGGTAGATGGAGAGCAGATACTCAACAGAGAGCTGGCAGTCTTCCTTCATCGCTTCTGCGGGATAGCTACATAAGCCAACAAGGACCTGGTGTAAAGATGTTCCTGGGAGCATAATGTGTTGAGGATACTTGGGCAGATTTCTGGCTACAAACATGTAGAAATAGATAATGTCTGCCGGATCAAAATTGTCCGTATTCATGATACCAAACAGGTAGTTGATTATGGACTGGCGAGTTGGCGTAAGGGTAGAGCCGCTCTTCGTGCCGTTCACTTGTGTACTGTTGGACATGTCTTGCTCACCATTCAAAAAGCTATCTTCAAAGGCCTCGTTCAGCATACTCATGAAGCTTGAAGCATCAAAGTCAAGGATCAGTTGCAGGTAAGGAAAAGGTGGTTCAGGACTACCGTCGGTTTGTGTGAGTATGACCTGACCAGAGCCGGGGGGCCATTGCAGGTTCTTTCCTGAGAACAAGAACCGGTACATATCTTTCTTTGCACTGTAAGCCTGGTCGTCCTCCATGAACGCACCTCCAGGGTACACCCGTCCTGTAAAGGTGTAGGCGAGGTATGGAAAGATTTTGTTGGCCGCAGTGAGGTAGATGTTGTCCGTTTCATTCACGTCGAAATCCACAAGCTTGATCAGCTCTAGAATGTTGACGAGGGGCGTAATATAGTCGCCAATCGCGTTGGTCCAGACGTATATCAGCGCATCATACAAGACATACTGTTGGCAAAGTGTCGTGACCTGGTTGAGATCCATTGTGTCCGTGCTGAGCCGACAAATCATCTCTTCAAGTTGGACTGAGCGGTTTGCTGAGGCGTAGAAGGTGATGAGATCCTTCAAAACGTTGGGTGGTATGGAATCAATCTCTTCGTCTTGTATATAGGGCTCGAGGGTTTCGAAAAAAGCCTTCTCCGCCGACGCTTCTTCATAAGAATCATACACATTTTCGAAAAGAAAGTCGAGCTCTTTCATACTCATTAGCCCCGCGAATACCACCTCAGCCAGCTCTTTCAGTCGCCGCTCTCTTGCTTCGTCGTCGACATCACTGTCTTGCGAGAAGGAGTATTTGAGTGATGCAGTAATCATCTCACGCAATTTCGGCTGCACTAGAGCATGGCGTGCTTCATCATCCTCGGGTAATCCAACAGTAATTTTGTCTGTATCACCAATATAGTATGAAGTTGCGAGGCCAAGTGCAGCAATGTAATCGCCATCTTCCATGAGTGCCAACAAACGATCTGCCCAGTTTGAAAGAGTGCCAATAGAACAGTCATTGAAGCCTAGCAGAAACATGCGGCCCTTATACACTTTAAAGCTCATGTAGAAGGCGTCAGCCACAACGCCATGCATCGAAGCATCGTTCTCATCTAACTGCTCAATAACGGGTTTGAGTTGACGCGAGAAGAGATCAGAGTGGTAAATGTGCTTTTGGAGCAGATCAAAAGAGTCGGTCACACGTAGTGTGTTGTCTTCTAGAATCATCAAGCGCTGACTGATTGTTAGTACGCCGAGAACTGATCTGCTGAGCCATTGAACAGCGACAATTGCCTCTTCTGCCTTCCAACGGCTTCGAGGTTTGAAACGAAGCTCGGGTGGCTTGTCCTTTTCTAAAGATGCCGCTGCATCTGAGTGGACATCGAGTACAGTCAGGACATTTGACCAGCAGTACACAAGCTTAGTTTTGGACACTGCATTGGTCGGCCCACTCGAAGTCTTCAGCTTGACAGCTGGAAACCAAGTAAGACATCCGCTCAACGCACTATGTGCTACAACGTCTTTTGGACGAGGGGCCTTGTGCTGCGTTTGCGCAATAGGGGTAGTTGATACGATTACTAAGAGGTAAGGTGTCAAGAGAGCCGTTAGGCCCATGTCGTCGGTGGGCTGCTCCACGTTTCCGAGAGGTAGTGGAGCAAAGGCGAGAACAGAACTCGGTTTTCGCGGTTTCTCTAATGATTTTGCCGATAGCGGGTACCTTCCTAGAATCCGAGTTGTCTTTACTGTGCGGCCAAGGGCGCCTAGCCCGCGTGTTGCCAGGTGGGAAAAGGCCATGCCAGCATCATCAGCGGAAACGAGTGCCGTATGACGCGTCCCCAAAAATCCCAGGTGTAGGATTGCTACACCCGATACGTGACCATCTGACTTGCCGTCCTCCAAGCTTTCTCGATCTAGGGGTGGGATATGAAGAAAAGGCTTGGCGGGTTTGGCCAATTCCCAAGTAAAGATATGGCCAGTAGCATGACCGCCAGCGATAGTAGTATGGTCTGCAGATATTGCTAGGGCAGTGATAGAGCCGCACTCTATGGCCTTTGTCCCTGGTCCAATGATACACTTGAGCACCTGTTGGTAGTCGAAGATGAGAATGAAGCCTTTCGAGGTACCTATGGCTAGGGAAACGGTGACGTTTAGGCATGTTGGGCGGCCAAAATTGCGCTTGCCAACCTCTGAAAAGACCTGGGCTGTGATTTTTCGAAGCTTTGTCCAGCGGACAACCTCCCATGGTGCCTGAGAGGACTCCGAGGCGTCGTCTGCCAAATGTTGGATGACAACATTGCTAGATATAGAAGATTGCCGTGAATGCGGTGACAGAAAGGCAGGCGAAGTTCCTCGAGGGGAAGAAAGCGGCGAGGGTGATAAACGCGAAGAAAAGCGACGCTCAAAGGGCTGCAAGGAGGTTGGGCGATGCGGGCGAAGTGAGCTGTGTGATAGAGGTTGACTGCTTGTGGGTGATGATATGCCTGAGCCCTGGACTGATGGAGTGTCGTCTGGAATGTCTGTCGATGCGGGACTGTCGTCATTCAGAACCTTGGATCTTATTGATAAATCTGAAGCCGACTTTTGTACGAGTTCTCGTGGGCCGTTCCGCCTCGTTTTCGCAAATGTCAACTTCTCAGAACCGTCATCTGCCGATCGGACCCCGTCTGTGCCTCCACCCTCTTCTTGCCCTGCGCCTGATCGGGAAATAACGCTCTCATCGACACTATCCTCGTACTCAGCCAAATTATCTCCAGCGCTTCCCGTGACGCCTGCCTGTTGGCCATGGTGGTTGCGAGCGCTGGAATGGCTCTCTCCCGAATCTGAGCTCATGGGGCTCGTTCTGCACGCAGCATTGCTTCAGGCGATCATTGGACGGCAGCGAGAATTTGTGGCCCGGCTCTTGCAGTGCAGCTCTAGGGAGGGTGCCAGTGTGGAATGACGAACGCGCGGGGGCCTGGGGGATGGTTCGCGCCACGGATGCTGTGGCTGGTGGCTAGGCGGAAGGGTTCAATTGCGCCGTGGCAACGCTACGATGGGTATGAGCGCCGTGTATTCTTGTATGCGTAGGAGGACGAGAGGATCCAGTGCGAGTCTGTCGCCAGAGTATAGCCAGGGTGGTGTGCCTGAGGAACTGACGGCACAGTTCGCAGATGGCCGCATCTGCCGCACCCATGGCCAAGGCCCAAGCTCCCCAAGGACGTCACCTCGCTGCACGCGACAATAGGCCCTCCACCCAAAACACCGTGGAAAAATTATACCCAGCATGCCCTCAATAGGACCAACATTACCGCCACATCTCGCCAAGCGCAGCCGCGATGAGGCTGACGACGACCGCGAGTCCAGTCCACAGTCGACTGACAAACGCCAAAGGATCGCCGGCCCAGCAGCTCCACTAACACAAAGTCGTTCGCGATCAAGTAGCGTAGACAGTGATATTGGCCCGGCACTTCCACCCAGTTCGAGACCAGCCAGAGTCATAGGGCCTGCCGCGCCTCCTGCGCCTCTCGAGGAACGACCTCGGAACCCTCCTAGCGACGACGACTCAGACAGTAGCGACGATGACTTCGGACCAGCGCCACCACCACCAGGAGGTGCTCAATCAGGCTTCGATATCGCTTCAGCAAAGTCTGCTTTTGATACAGAGCCCCAGTTTGCCGAGGCTCCCAAGGCGGCACAGCGCGACGAGTGGATGACTCTACCGCCTACCCAGGACGATCTTGCTGCCCGTATGGACCCTACAAAGATGCGCGCTCGTAAGTTCAACACAGGCAAGAGCGCGGGCAGTACGGGAGGAATGAGCAATGCTTGGACAGAGACTCCAGAACAAAAGCTCAAGCGGCTGCAGGACGAGGCTCTGGGCATCACCGCGCCCACGAACGCGGCTCCTGTTACCTCGGAGTCGAAGCGCAGCAAAGAGGAAGAGCGCCGCGCACGCAAGATGCGCGAGAAGATTGATGCAGGCAGAGGAAAGAGTCTCGTCGAGCAACATCAGGAAAAAGGCACCGGAAAAGAAGAAGAAGACGATCCCAGCAAGCGTGCATTCGACTACAAAAAGGACATGGCTGTCGGCGGCACGACGACCCACAAACAACGGAGAGAAATGTTGAACAAGTCCAAAGGCTTCAGTGACCGCTTCTCAAGTGGCAGTTATCTATAGTCTCAGCTGGCCTTGGATCAAAGCAATTAAAAGGGACTGGAAAGGTGTATGAGTCGAACCAAGCACCATGGCTATGGTTGCTCTTTCCGTAGCCTTTGCAGGTGCCAAAGGTTTTATTATGTGAATTGGGGAGCTATACGATGTAGATCGTCGTCGCAGTGTCACAGCACTTGCGGCTTCCTATAGCGCCGCGTATTCCATGACGCCATAATGAAGCATGGTATACAACTGCGCGCCAGACACAACATCTCACTCATGCCCGCCATAAGATTGCGCAAACACAATATTCACTTTGTTGCGTGCGAGAGACTTCGATAGGTTCGAACAAGCTTGAATCGCAAATTATGTCAACCTCTAGACTTAAAATCCAGGACGTCACTCCGCGAATCACAACTTTCAAAGTCCTCTTCAACCGCTTTGCGCCCCTTGGCTACCGCAAATTTGTCGCTGTTGGCAACCGCGCAACTGCCATCCGACTACATAATGATCGCATTCTCCTGCTAAATCCCATCCAACTCGACCAAGCCGTGCGTGAAAAACTCAACCAACTCGGAGGTGTCCATCTTATCGCCAGCGACCTTGGTCACCACATGTTCGTCAAAGAGTACACGGATGTGTGGTCAGAAGCAAAAACCACTAGCATTCCTGGCTTGAATAAGAAGAGAAAAGACATAAAATGGGACTACATCTACAAAGACTGGACTTCGAGTCCAGAAGACCAATTCGACTTTGCGCAAGATGTGGAGACTGCTTTTCGAAGGGTTTATTACGTATTGTGTGGCTTGGTACCACAAGCCAACGAAGACCCTGATACAATCTGATCTTATGATGAATTTGCAGTATACTGAGGTATGCCTTTGATTGCGTGTCGGGATCTTTGCGTGACTGGAGTATAAAGAGCTGATTCATACCAGCAATACCATCCAAGCTCTTCGGAGCAAGGTCTGCTATCCCGCGAGTTTGCAAAGTGAGCACACCCACAGTCTGTATGGATGAGGCGACCTATCTGCTATATTGCTACAGTCGATTACGCTCTTATGCGGCGTGATGCGAAGAGAGTGGCGCAGTGGCAGATTGCGCGTATCATTCCTTGTCATAGGGATGTTCTCGAAGGTGATGGTAACGATGCCTGGAATTCTGTATATGCATGGTTTTTGCGTGGGCCGCCACAGTCTAGTGTGGTGAACAAGGTGATGGTTCCGGTGATGAAGCTTGCGAGGCGGGTATTTCTCATGTAAATGGAACTCATTATGTTCTATGAACAAGTTGTCGGAAGAGTATTCTAGGATCACAGCAATGAATGGGAGAAGAGTTTGTGAATATTCAGAATCTGTTTCAATTTCTCAAGTCGAAAGTGCTGGCGTCTTCTCGATTCCACGGATGCAATTTCGACCCCAGTACAAATACACTACAATTAGCGACAAGGCCTCAAATGAATGATCAATCTACCCAAGAAAATAAAGAAGGCACTATGCCAAATATATATAAGAAGAAAAAAAATCATATACACCACCCCATCACCCACCCACAACTCCCTTTTTTACACCTCAACCCGACACAACTTTCCATTCTCATTTGGCAGCCCATCAACACTCTCTACTCTCCACCGCTCACTTCCCACCCCGGTCGTCGCAAAAAACACATCCTCAGGATCCAACTTCGCTTTAAGCTCCAACAACTTCGGGTACTTCTCTCCAAAAAACGCCTCCCCAAAGTCCGGCTCCATGCGATCCGCCTCAGCAAGATACGAACCCGCACCGGGACTGATATCCCTCCAAGCCTGCATATCACCCTGCTGAAAGTCCTTTCGGATCTTGAGGATTTGCTCGGCGGTGCTGTTCACGGGCCAGCGCACCGATTGCATGCTAAAGGAGGTGAGGGGCCGCCAGTGCGAATTCACCGCGTTATCAGTGTTGTACGGATCCTTAGCCTGCATGTTGAAGTGTACCTGAACACGGTTGTTTTCCGCGGAGCGACGAATATTCTCGTAAAACTCCTGGCGCTTCTCTACGGTCTCAAAGTTCGCGCGGGGAAAGAGGCGCGAGGCGGTTGCTACGTTGGGCTTTTGGACTGCCTCTAGCGGGAAGGAGGAGCGCCAGGCGGTGTAGAAGTTGTCGAAGTGGGTGATGTTTGGGTCGTACTTGATGCCTAGGTTGTCGAGCTCTGTGAACCAGGGTTGGAGCAGGGCGGTTGCTTCCTCGAGGGATTTTCCGGGAGCGAAAAAGGGGGAGAAGGAGAAGGAGAAGGAGCCGTTGGTGGGGATTAGAACCCAGTAAGTATAGGTGCTTGCGTCGGCGTTTGCGATGAAGGAGTCGACGTAAGCGCGGATGGCGGCCCAGAAAGTCTCGACGCCTGTGTCGCTGGATTTGAAGCCGAAGCGGGAGGCGGTGACTTGGAGGTCGGGGTGCGCTTTTACGGTTACGGAGGTGACGACGCCGAAGGTGCTGCCGCCGCCACCGCGGAGGGCCCAGAAGAGGTCAGTATGGGAGGTCGAGTTTGCGACGACGAATTCGCCATTCGCAGTGACGACTTCCATCGAGAGGACGCTGTCGGCAGCAGTGCCGTAAAGGGGTGTTAGGGGTGAATGACCTCCTCCCTGGATGTAGCCTCCCATGACACCGACTGTCTCGCCTTCTCCGCCAACAATAACTCTGCCCTTTTCAGAAGCAGCCTTATAAAGCTCAAACGCTTGGACACCAGCACCGCTCTTGAATGCAGGGCCCGAGTAGTTGAGCTTTGAATCAACATACTCCTCAATGTACTCAATGTCCTTCATGTTGTGCGTCCAGATGCTGAGGGCATCTTTGCCACCACTCTTTCCGAGAAAGTCATGGCCGGTGTTCTTGATGACGAGTCGAACGCCGGTGTTCCTTGCAAAGTTGACGGCAAGCTGGACGTGCTTGGGCTCAGTGGCGTTGACAACGTACATAGGGAAGCCACCCCGAGTGCAGCCATGGGAGTCGAAGAGGGCTGGTATGGTACATGTCATGCCTTGTGCTACTGGGGACATCATTTCGATTGGATCAACCATGTGGAGGTATGATTTCTGCCATTCTGTAACAGTGTACTTGGAGCATTCTGCGGCGTTGTAGTCCTCGCCTGGGTAGCACACTGCAGCTCGAGGAGTAGGCGCAGTGATGACGCGGTCGCCAGTGAGTTTGCTTAGCTGAGACCAGGCTTCGTCTGAGGGCCACTCAGGGTCTCCAGGGTAGACTTTGCACCTGGAAGTCGAGTTCTTGGGGGGAGTGATGCTAGAGGAGCGTGGGGAAAAGAGCGCCTTGACTGTAGGAGAGAGGCCCTGCAGATCAACTTCTGCGTTGAACACATTGGACTCAACTTTCGCAGAAACATGTGGAGAGGCAGCTGCTGACGCGGCGGCCAAAGCCGTGAGCCATAACGTTACAGCCATAGTCGCAACGGTTTTGCGTCCTGGTTTAGTGTCTTCGAGTCAGACCGAGAGAACAAGTTTTGGCAAGGGATCGGCCACAGTTCTGAGTAGATGCTGATCTAAATGCTCATCAGAAAGTTTGTTCGTACTATCGACTTTTGCTATTGCTTACCTTTCCTCTGGTGCTTGCGGGAGCTGGCGAGCTACGGACCGTTACGCGGTAAGCCGAGTATCAAGAGAACGGTCATTCTGCTCATCTTACTGACTGACTCAATCTAGGAGGCAACGTTGAGCATGCCGTCCTTGGCACGACGTGGGCTAATGCAGTTGCATTGAATGTGATTGCTGATCTTGCACATAAAGACGTGTTGACAGCTGGGGCAGCCGGGATGGGTGACATGGGGCTAGAATTGATCCATCGACTCACAGCCTATCCACGCACACCGTGATAGTATTGCGTATGACCATGTGGCAAAATGCGTATTTTTTCACAGACACGGGCATGCATCGTCGGAGCTGGGTCTCGGCCTCTGCAGTGATAATGGACCCCTGACCCCTTATCCAAAATGTGTGAAAATACGCAAGACGGGCAGCCACGTGCTATTCAGGTACCATGCTAGGCCTGGGGCCCGCCATGTATCCTCTGAATAGAAGTGGAGCTTGTCGTCCGGGGTCGGCATTGCGTTTGAGCTAGTGCAATGCTAGTGTCGTGGTAGAGAGTCATGATCGACGAACATTCCCATTCCCCTCTTGAGCCTCACCCTTACCGTTATCTGTGTTTCACCGTGACCCCCACCAAACAAGAGGCCCATAATTACCAGATTCTTCCTTTCTCATACATTTCCAGATATCGAGTGGCATGTTATATGATTTATGCAAAAACGTGGATGTCCTGAGTAGTTGGCTTGGTCCCCGTATCGGACAATAAACTAGCCAAATAGAAATGCTCCCCTTAAGCCACACGCAGGCTTAAGAAAGCTAGGCTCAGTGATCGACGTCACATTTTTCCACAAACATGGGCCGTTGACTCGCGGATATGTAGTCGTGCGCGGCAGTTTTCGTACTCGAGCCTTGCCCTGCCTTGCGCCAGCGGCCAGAACCAGAGTTCACAGGGCGGCTGGACATGTCAGCCTGAATTCGGTCCGAAACGAGCCGTTCTCAGCTTCATGCGACACTCTAGCACTTGTTCTGGTAAAGCGGCAGCAAACTACACAAGCGGACGACAGACGGCTTCCGCGGTGGTTTCGCGCATGAGGGCCAGTGTCGATGTCGACCAATGTCTCAGGTGCTTGGACGGGTTGTTATACCGGATTCAGAGTCTAGAGCAGCGGCATGTCCGGTTCGGTCTCCAACCTCGCCGACGAGTTGTCTGTGGGTGAATCCTTTCAAATCTCTGCTCTCAAGGCACTGGTTGTGCAACCTCTCGCGTGCGCTGAGCTATTCACCTGTAGGGTGACAACATCAAAGGTACCCGTCAGAGGTGCATTGGTTCTTCCTGGGTGGACCAAGACCGTTTATCCTCCCCGCTTCGTCCCTCCAAAAGCCCCTCGAATCGCGCCGATACTCCACACTCGCTTCGCGACTGTGATCATCTGTCTAGGGCCAACGATCTTCACACACCAGAGAACTCCCGGCTTCTAGATCGTCAAGCTGGGAGGTACCTCTTACGTTGTCAACAACTCAGCAGGTCTGACCCTTGGGACTTTCTTCGTCGTGCGCCGCGGGCGATGACCGCCTCCAGAATGATCGAAAACCGACAGCCTGTCGCCCTCGCAATAGTCTGTACTTTTACAGTTGTCGCTTCCTTGACGGTCTTTCTTAGGGTGTGGTCCCGGTATCTTGGACGAAACTTCTGTTGGGACGACTACCTCATCCTCATCGCAGCTGTGATTTTTCTCGCGGATACGATTGCAACATGGGTTTACATCGTTTTGAGTGGTACAGGTTACCACGTATATGACCTGCCCAAGAAGTCTGTCCACGAGCAACTCGTCGCTCTACATTGGAACTTTTCAATTCAGATGCTGTACCACCCACGTATGTGCTTCTCCAGGTCTGTGTCTGTAGCATCTTCGCTAACAAGGTTCCAGTCATGGGGTTGATCAGAGCTTCAATCATCGTTTTTCTCTTCCGGATGAAGGACACTCGTCGGCGAGTACGATATCCATTGCATGTTGTCACCTGGCTCAACATTGTCTACTCCGTAGGATCGACCATCGTCAACTTGACCCAATGCACTCCATACCCCTATGTCTGGTCTCGGCCTGCGATGGACAAGGTTGGTCCCAACGGAACTGTCATACCAGGCGGTACATGCATCGACGCCCGTACCTTTGTCCTGGTGTCCTGTGGTCTTTCAATCTTCATGGATCTCATCATTATGCCAATTCCGACTGTCATGGTGTGGAATCTCCAGATGCACCGACGCACGAAGGTCCTGGTGGTGTTTGTTATGAGCCTAGGATGGATCGCGACAGGAGTCTCCGTTGGGCGGTTCATTGTGTACTACTACCGCTTCGCGCCTACCAACAAAGACCGCACATGGGATATCGGGATTGCAATCAGTATCGCTGAGCCGGCTGTACACATAATGACAGCGTGCGCGCCCGCGACAAAGTGTCTCTTCCGGCATTTGTTCCCACAGTACGGCACCAACCGCAAAGCCTCATATTACCACGAAGGAACAGTGACTGGCCATCGTCCAAGCAAACTTGGGTCGTATGGTTCCAAGATGATGGGCAACTTCAAATTTGATGTTCCCGCCCACAAGAATGAAGAGATCGACCTGGAGGTTGGAGGTGCCCCGAGGACTGCTCCATTGCCGCCACCTGAGGATAAGGACGCAAACGCCTTCGACTGGAAAGCTGTAGCGAGTATTCAGTCAAGGGAGTCGGCAGAAGCATTGCCGAGGAGAAAGAGTTGCTCGAAGACTGCATGCACGGAATCAAGTGAAGCAGTAGAGGCTGAGCCGGAGTACCTGCTAGGGCGGGCGCGGTAGTAAGTAATTGTACGATACTTGGGTTGGTTTTGCATTAGTTAGCGATGATAGCGTTTTGTGCACAGCGGAAGGACCCGCATTTCCTTCCTTTGCATGCAGTAGTAATCTACGAAGTTGACGGCCTTGAGTCAATGCTCGAATCTGTGTAACCAGTGACGTCGCGACTTATCCGAACCTTTTTCTAGTACTGACAGAGCTGACGCGTGGTTTCTCACGCGACCACGTGAGCGCGGGGATAGCGCGAACAGACCGGAGCTAACCTCTTTAGGAGAACCCTGGCTTCCGAATGCCGTTTACACGCGAAACACAACAAACATCGAGCAACTAACACCAGCATATGCAGCCACTATGAGGATCATAGAACTTGTCATTGATGTCAGTAGATACTCTAGATTTATGCGATCAAATCTAATATAATATCAGGGCTACAAGTCGTACGCTGTCCGCACAGTCATCTCGGGCTGGTGTGTTTACTCCCCCGCTATGAGAGGAACACATTGCTCACCGTAGTCAGGGACGAGAGTTTCAATTCAATTACAGGACTCAACGGATCAGGAAAATCAAACATCCTTGATTCAATATGCTTTGTGCTTGGTATCAACAATCTGAGCGTTGTGCGAGCACAGAACTTGCAGGTGGGCAGAACAAGGCAGTGGAACATAGCGAGGTGCTAACAAGGCTCCAGGACCTCATCTACAAGCGTGGTCAAGCCGGAGTGACCAAAGCGAGCGTTACCATCGTATTCGACAATCGCGACAAGACAAAGAGCCCAGTCGGCTTTGAGGAACATGCGCAGATATCGGTGACACGACAGATTGTGTTGGGGGGAGCGAGCAAATACCTCATCAATGGACACCGCGCACAGCAGCAGAGTATACAGAACCTGTTCCAGTCTGTGCAGCTCAACATCAATAACCCCAACTTTATGATTGCACAAGGAAAGGTTATGCAAGTGCTGAACATGAAGGCAAAGGAAATCTTGGCTATGCTTGAGGAGGCTGCGGGAACGCGCATGTTTGAGGATAGGCGAGACAAGGCCTACAAGACCATGGCAAAGAAGGAGATGAAAGTCCAGGAAATTGCCGAGCTGCTACGCGATGAGATTGACCCAAAGCTGGAAAAGCTACGGACGGAAAAGAGGGCCTTTCTGGAATTTCAGCAGACACAGAGCGAGCTTGAGCGTCTCACAAAACTTGTCGTAGCACATGACTATTTGCGATACAATGAGCGACTGCAACAATCAGCGGAAGATCTCGAGGCGAAGAAGCAGCGAGCAAAGGACCTTGAAGAGTCAACTGTGCGTATGAAGAAGGAGATCGAACATCTCCAAGAAGACATCAAGCAGACAAAGGCAACAAGGGAAAAGGAACTCCGAAAAGGTGGAAAGTTTCAAGCACTCGAAGAAGAAGTAAAGGCACATTCTCACGAGATCGTCCGTCTGACCACGAACCTGGAGCTTAAGAAGACTAGCATGGCTGAAGAAGTTGAGCGTGAAAAGAGTGTCCAGAAGAGCGTGAAAGAACTTGAGAAACTACTGCAAGAGAAGAAGCAAGCTTACCAAAAGGCGCAAGAAAAATACCAAACAGCCCATGCAGAGCTAGCAAAGCAGACGGAGGAAGTTGAGCAGAAAGAGGAGCTCCTCCAGACTCTGCAAACCGGAGTGGCATCGAAAGAAGGCCAAGAGGGCGGTTACCAAGGTCAATTACAAGAGGCCAGAAATCGAGCGAGTGCAGCCGCGACAGAGCAGGAACAAAGCAAGTTAAGGATATCGCATCTCGAGAAGCAGATCAAGGAGGATGAGCCGAAGGCTAAAAAGGCAAGAGAACAGAACTCTGGACTGCTCAAAGATCTTGAAGCCCTCAAGTCACAGGCTACAAAGCTCGAGGCAGACTTAGCGAAGTTAGGCTACGACGAGGGCCAAGAGGCAAGCATGTATCAGCAAGAATCACATCTCCAGGCACGCATCCGGGAAATCAGGCAGCAGGCGGATGCGATGAGGCGACAGGTTGCTAATATTGACTTTAGCTACAGCGACCCATCACCGAACTTTGATAGGTCTCGTGTCAAGGGTCTTGTTGCTCAGCTCTTCACGTTGGAAAAGGAGCATACCCGAGCGGGCACTGCTCTAGAGATTTGCGCTGGAGGCCGGCTGTACAACGTTGTCGTCGACTCTGCCGCCACTGGTAAGCAGCTTCTCGAGAACGGCAGGCTCAAGAAGCGAGTCACGATTATCCCTTTGAATAAGATCGCGGCCTTCAAAGCATCAGCAGAGAAGATTGGAGCAGCTCAGAAGATTGCGCCAGGCAAAGTCGACTTGGCACTATCATTGATTGGGTACGACGACGAGGTCACCGCCGCAATGGAATACGTCTTTGGCTCTACCCTTGTTTGTGAAGATGCGGAAACCGCTAAGCGCGTAACATTCGATCCCGCAGTACGCATGAAGAGTGTAACACTTCAAGGTGACACTTACGACCCTGCCGGTGTGTTGTCTGGTGGTAGCGCACCCCAGTCTAGTGGAGTTCTCATCACCTTACAAAAGCTCAATCAGATCACAACAGAGCTGAGGTCTCAGGAAGCTCAGCTTCAATCCTTGCAAGCCACCATGGCAAAGGAAAAGAAAAAGTTGGATGCTGCTCGCAAGTCAAAGCAGGAACTCGACCTGAAGAGGCACGAGATCAAACTTACCGAGGAGCAGATTGGCAGCAACGCATCTTCATCGGTATGTGATGGCTTTTTGTTCCATCTCCAGTCAATCTACTAATCATGCAATAGATCATACAAGCTGTCGAGGAAATGAGGCAGACCATTGCTCAGCTCAAAGAAGATATCAAGGCGGCCAAAACCCGGCAAGACGAGGCCAACAAAGACGCGAAGCGGATCGAGCGCGACATGAGCGAGTTCAGCAACAACAAAGACAGTAAGCTTGCAGAGCTACAGTCTTCTCTGGAGAAGCTGAAGAAGGCTTTGGCGAAGAACAATGCCTCAATTAAACCTCTTCAGACCCAGATGCGCGAAGCCATGGTAGATTCTGAGCAGTGTGGAAGTGATCTTGCAGCCACTCAGGAGCAGCTAGAAGAAGTCCAGACCAACTTAAAGTCACAGCAAGAGGAACTCGACGAATTGCTGGCTGAGCAATCTCGTGTCAAGGTAATGCTCTCAACCCTGCATTAGTAACAGTACTAACTTTGTCAGGATGCACATGACCTAGCCGCGGCTCAGTTAAGTGATGAGCAAGCAAAATTGACTGGCTTTGACGAGGAGCTCCGCTCACTCGAAGACGCGATCCGTTCAAAGAACTCAGCTATAACGGAAGGCGGCCTTGAGCAACAAAAGTTGGGTCACGAGATTGAAAGGTTCCACAAGGAACAAGAAGGCGCAGAAGGCCACATTAGGGCACTTGAGAAGGAGTACGAATTCATTGCCAACGATTCAGAGCTTTTCGGTCGACCTGGCACAGTGTACGACTTCAAGGGGGTAAATATGTCGGACGCAAAGGCCCGGCGCAAGTCACTGGAAGAGCGGTTCCAACAAAAGAAGAACAAGATCAACCCCAAAGTCATGGCCATGATTGACAGTGTAGAGAAGAAGGAAGCCAGTCTCAAGAAGAACATGTCGACAGTGGTTCGAGACAAGTCCAAGATTGAAGAAACCATTGTCAAGCTCGACGAGTACAAGAAAGAGGCGTTGCACAAGACATGGTCGATTGTCAACCGCGACTTTGGACAAATCTTCAACGAGCTCTTGCCCGGTAGTTTTACGAAGCTTGATCCTCCTGAAGGTAAGACAATCTCGGACGGACTGGAGGTCAAGGTGATGCTTGGCAAGGTGTGGAAACAGTCCCTGACCGAGTTGAGTGGTGGTCAAAGGTAAGCACGGAACTGTTGCACTTACTCGAAGTACACTAACATTACTTAGGTCTCTCATCGCGCTCTCGCTTATCATGGCTCTTCTTCAGTTCAAGCCTGCGCCAATGTACATTCTGGACGAGGTTGACGCCGCGCTTGATCTGTCGCATACACAAAACATTGGCCGCCTGTTCAAGACAAGGTTCAAGGGCTCGCAGTTCATCGTCGTCAGTCTGAAGGACGGCATGTTCCAGAATGCGAATCGCATTTTCCGCACGCGCTTTGTTGACGGCACGAGCGTGGTGCAGGCAACGTCTGGGTCATCAGGATAAGGCGGGAGTAGAGTATCACGTGTAACGAGACATGGCTTGATACGATACCCAGGGTACACGGTTTGAATTGCTTGTTTGGATAGTTGTTTGTATATGTGGGCATAGGGACGGTGCTATTGGAGTCTAGTTCGGGGCACTAGTGGCCCGGTTGGGAAGTTGGGTATGCACCAGCCCGGCATGACTGGCCGCTTCCCTGTTAAGATCTCTTGTCGCCTGTTTCTCCTTCCCCATACGGCAAACCAAGATGCGTTTTGATGAACATCCATGGCCATAGCAGAATGCTGTTTTCTACTATGACCCACCACCTATCTTCATTATACCCTCTTTCGCAATACACCTATTGATAAGCTCCAAACCAGCAGATTGTTAGTAAACTACCTGGATGCGCGACTGACCTGGTGCCGACGCGCCAAACCTCTCCTCTACGCAGGCAGCAATTGCTAGCCCGCCGATGTTATCGGCGCCTACACCTGAACCCCACGCAACCGACATCACTGCGGCATACTCGGCTACTGCTCCAGACAGCCCTGGTCAGGATGCTTCACCTGCCAGCGACGCCCAAGATTCATCACTGCAAATCTGGCGCAAAGCTTCCGCCAGGCACTATACCACATTTCAAGAGCATGCCGACCAGACCTTGGGAGCAGAAACATCGGGACAGAACGCTGGTGCTGCCTCAAGGCACGACGCCAGGCGCGAAGGTTTCAGCTGGGGTCAACAACCACAGACCGGACACCATAGGCACAGTCAACACGCAATGACAATAGAACCCGACCGACCAAGGTCGCTTCCATCCTTTGAAGAGATTATGAGACGAACTCACATTGATAATGCTAACGACATTCAAAACAACAAACTTCGCCATATTGACAGTATGGAGTCGGCCAGACCAACCGCCATTGGCTTAGTCGAGTCCTTTTCCAGCAACGAGAGCGACCACAATGCTCAAAGCCACCGCAGGTCTTCGATTATGGCCTTTGCAAAGGGAATGACAAGACATGTACCAGACTTTAGGATACTGTACCCTCCACCGCACAAAGAAGATGAGCAAATGCGAGATTCGAGGGAAGATGTCATTTCAAAGCTACAGAAGAAAGACAGCAGCCTATTCTTCGCCCACCAACCGTCTCTTAATTCGACGAATGGCAATGAGAAGTTCTCGAACTTGACCGTTGTGATTGACGAACCATCAAGAGGGGTTGAAAAGCCTGCTAAACCAGCAAACACACAGCTACCAGCAAGCAGCGGGCTTCGGGCCCGCCGGAAAGTCGACCTCGACTTATCGATGCCGAAAAACGTGCCAGATCTACCGGCTCGCAGCCGTTATCCTGTCGACATGGCGGGTAATCTGGTTGCCCCTCGTCCACGCAGCCCTAAAACACCATGGATTCGCAACGAGCAGCCAAGATGGGAATTGGACCGGAGAGCCAAGTCCTCACCAATCGAAGAGGAAGATGACATGGGCGATAATATCACAACGTTGAACAGTGACAACCACCGTGGCAAGGGCCTTTTGCCTGGTAACGACGTATTGGACTCCTTGCAGCCACCAACACACGAACGGCCGCCAGCGAAGGTGAGGCACCGGCATTGCATTAGTCTTCCACTCCCGAAGAGATCAAGAAGTGGTACAAATACAAGCGATTTAGATGTGGCTCAGATGTCGGGTGAAGGGTGGGCGTCGACTGATGAAAGAATACAAGCCCGCACCACGGCAGACTTACAACAGGTGGCTCAAGACTCGATGAAATCCCGAATGCGTCGGTGGAGAGAGAGATACATGACGTCTAGTGAGGATGCAGCTCCGACTTCTGGAACAGAAGCTTCTAAACGTCGTCTATCCATGAATCTTTTCAAACGCTCGAATCGCCTTTCCGATCAAGCCGCCCTGGAACTATCAAACGAAAAGACAACCTCAACTAATCCTACAAGTCACAATAAGCAAGGCCAATACCCATCGCCTTCGCTGGCACATATCCCTGTCCCACCCGCATTCATCCCACCCGGTTTAAGTCGTGTGCCAACACCACCCATGTACGACGCCAACGGCGAAGTCAGAGGCAAACTAGCAGATTTCCTCTTCGACTTCCAAAGCGGCAGTGCAAAAGGCGCTCGAAAAAAATCTCCCTCCGGTTCGGAAGGCTACTGGGACTCTGACGCCCTTTTAATGAGCTTGTCCACTGGTATCGCCAAAAAAGAAGACGACGAAGACGACGAAGGCCCAGAAGGTCCCCTTCGTAACGCCCTCCGCTCCCGCTCCATCTTTGACAAAACAACCAACCACAACCACCACCACCGTACCCACAGCACCCACGGCTTCCTAGGCGTAAAACCCCCACTCAGCCCCTTGCTCGCTGCCAACTCACGCATGCTTGGCCACGACGGCTGGTACCGCGTCAACCACGAAGACGACGCTGATTTGCGCGACTCGTACACTGTGGCTGCGCTGGCACGCCAGGAGGAAGAGGAGCGCAGGAAATTTGAGTGGTTGGTTCCTGAGCATCTTCCTAATAGCCCCTTGTGCCCGCTGCACGACAAGTATGTGGGGCCCAGTCAGGGCTTGTGCTACTGGCATGGACGGAGGAGTGGAGCGGAGATTAGAGAGGGTGAGTATGCGAGGCCGGAGAGTTGGGGTGGTGTTAGTGCAGTAGGAGGGGATTACATGGGTGCGGGGAGTGGGAGTGCGGTGCGAGATGGGATGAGGTTGTCACCGGGGATTTCGACGCCGGTAGCGAAGGAGACGAAGAAGAGACGACTGGTTAGTTTGTCGAGTCCTTGATGTATATATCTTTTTAGAGTTTTGGTTTAATTTCAAAGTGTTAAATATTTAATTTTCTTTCGTTGATGTCATAACAAAGTTCTACCGCCATACTCCGTCTATTGCCTTTACTCACCCTGTGCTCATATTCATAAATTTCGTTGCAAAGGATGCTGCCGCCATGCTGGTTTTTCTCTTCTTTTTTCTTCTCTTAATCCTCAGGCTCTGTGTTTGCTCTCCACGTAGGCGTCTTCCCCGCATCCTTCCACATTTGTTTCCTCTCGTGGAATATTTGCTTTGCCCAGGCCATGACTTCATCACTCTGGATGCGTCCTGCGACCCACGTGAACTCGCCCAGGTCCTTTTCGCAATGATACTTGCGCTCGTATTCGACCATCTGGACTAGGAGTTCAATCTTGTCGACGTCATGGACAAAGTGTGACTCTGGTGTCTTGCTATCCTCGTACTCTTGCCAGATTGCGCGGACATCTTGTCCGTTCATGCCGCCATTGAACTTGCCTAGTAGGTTGGTGCAGATGTAATCCATAGTCTCTGTCTCCCTGCGGCTCTTTTCTTCCTTGCTGACATCATCTACGGGCGTGATGTCACCGACAAGCGACTCGGCCATGTCGTGGATGACAGCCATGCGACAGCACTTTAGGATGTCGAGTTTGGAGCTGAGAGACGAGGGAGCCATCATGGTGAGAATGCTCATGCGGTACATGTGGTCGGCGATGGACTCGCAGTCTGGGATGCCGAAGCGGCGCCAGCCCGCTCGCTTTGTTGTCTTGAGGCGCTCGAGCAGGTGGAAGAACGGAACGGGCGAGTCGGTGTGTTCGGCGTTGCGGGGCTTGATGTCTGCGAGTACTGCAGGGACATGTTAGTAGGGCAATCGTGATCGTGATACAATAAAAAGGCAAAGAGAGGTTTCGCATACGGACGAGCCATTGCTTAATTCATGACATACCGCTCTCGACTGTCCACTGTTGCTTTTGCGCATCCTTTGCTTCGAGTTTGCTGGCGCTGGGCTCGGGGACGCCATTGGTCTGGGTTGATTCGTCGACGGTCATAATGGCGATGTACTGATTCCACTGACTCAGGTTGTGATACCTCTATAGAGACACAAGATATATAATATGTATGCGTGGGGGGTTGCCGGGACAAAGCGTTTGGCCAGTGACGAGAAAGCGGTTGACAATGAACAAGGGTCAAACCGGGATCAGGAAAGCGCGAACGCGACTATCGATAGGGCCCGGCTTGGCAAACAGTGCAGAGGCCCGTCACACCGCAACACCAACGCATGCATACTTACACATCATCAACCAGCGCTGATAACTCTCACTCTTTCTCTCTTTCAGGTCCCGGTTGCGCGCATGTCTCTTTTGCGACTGCAAGCATGTCTCGCACTACCTCGGCTTCCTCTACGACCACCACGGCTACCACGACCAGCGGCCACGTGCGCACCGTATCCGTCAAAGCAAACAATGCGAAACCGCAGCAATTAAACCCCATGCCAGCGTCTGATATCAGGCTCTTTGTGACCAATCTGCGATTGCTAGACTTTGACTTGCGAGACGACTGGCCGGATATTACTGTGCAAACTTTCTCGGCCAAGAATGCTGATCAGCGACAGAGAATCGCTGGAACCGAATGGGCCCTGTTCCGCTTATTTGAGATATGGGATCCCAGCGAGACAGCGCAGGTATACTTGGACAGGTTGTGCATGTGGATTCTGCATCTGACATGATCACAGAAGCTACAGCCGTTCTTTCCACCCCTCGAACCACTTCAGTCGCTGAACCTTCGCGCCGCGTTCTTCCGATGCTTGAACGAGTTGAAGAAGAATGGTGTACTGGGGAGAGAGTCTGTTCTCAGGAAGACGATGCTGGATGAGTGCAAGGGCGACAAGTTTTACGAGATCCTTGCGATATTTTCAAATGTCACCCTGAAGAAGGTGCTTGCAGTGCGGGACAGAGGAGGTCGGGATGGAGCGGTCGCAAGAAGACTGGCGACGGCACCAATGCTTCCGGTCGACCAGCAACAGTCACTACTTCCATTGGCGATTGCGCACCGCGCAGCATTAGTCAACGTGTTGAAGAAGAAGGAAGAAAAGAGGAGAAAGTACATGGAGTTTGAAGCAATGCTGGATAAGAAGGCGGACGATATCAATCGCCACATACGAAAGTGCAAAGATACTCCTCGGGCACAGAAGCCTGCTGTGTCGCAGAAGGAGGCAGAAGCTGTCAAGAGGCAGCTCAAAGACAACTGGATAGGCAACCAGAAGTGGCTCAATGTCATGCTCCATGGCGAGGAAACTCATACAGGAGATGCTTTCCTCAATACCCGGTTCGACAAGGTCTGGTACATGGTGGAGAAAGGGCGAAAGCTTGAAGATGTTGCACCAGAGACCGGACTCCTGGAGAACCTACAATCGAGAGTGCAAGAGCAACAGGAGCGGCTGCAAAAATGGAAGGACTTTCATGAAGAGTTGCAAAACGATGCCTCTGGAAAAGAGAACCGGGTCAATCTAAAGCGTGTGGCGCCGATGAAGGAACTCAAATTTGACGCTCATTCTCAATACCAGCTGCCGCCTTCGAAGCAGACAGTGGAGCAAACGGCGATTAAACGGCCAGCAATGCGAGTGGAATATCGTGACATCTTATCTGATATGGATGTGGAATTGGAACACGCCGGGAAGATTCGAGCAGGCCCTGTATCCACTATCCTACCGCGACGGCGTGCCTCGCCCACAAAAGAAGTACAATCGCCGATCCCGAAGAGAAAACCGACCCTGTCTGAGCCGGTACCTGCGTCGCCAACCAGCCCAGTGGTCCCGCCAAAGCCTAAACATCTTGCAAGACCCAATTCCCTGCAGAAAGTACCTACGCTGCCGAAGCCGTCACACCACGTGGCGGCGGCGTCTACACCGATTGATTCAGAGGCAACGCTGGTTGGCCAGGCTTCTGCGCTTCGTAGCTCACCACCAGCAGCTCGTCATGCTGGGTCGCCGATACGAAAGTCTCCACCACCTACACCACCTCGTAAGAATAGAACACCCAAGATCGAGAGTCCCGAAGCCACCGTGACTCTCACAGTCCAACAAGCCTCGCCCTCGCCAAATGAGCGTGCCTCAAACTCACTATCAGACTACCCATCTGAACCCCCAGTCCCAACTTTCGAACCCCCAGTCCTCGACCCCGACGAAGCAATGGCCGACCAAATCATAAACTCAATCGGCAACGCCACCCCATCCCCTGTCAAGAAACCCCAACCCCGCATGTCGCTTTCCCTCCTCGAACGCACCCGCCTAACTATGTCTCACGCAAACTCTTCCGAACATGCACTCGAATCCCCCCTTCCCTTACCCTCCATGGCACCACCCCCTCTCCCCGCCAACCACCCCAACCCCGCCTCCGACCTCCTCGAGCGTACTCGTCTGAGCATGGTAGCATCGCAAGCACTGCCCCGCCCCACGCCCTCACAGCCACAGCGCAAACCCAGCGGCGGCCACCAGAGTCTACACCCCGTAAATCAGTTCGATACCCCGCCGCGGAATCGCCAGTCTTCTGCTGAAATGCTGCGCCAAGGCAGCATGGAACCAGTAGATGGAGATGGGAGCCCGGGTCTTGAACGTACGCCTACGGAACAGCTGTTTAGCGATGAGGTGGATTATGACCGTGTGTTCAAGTCGAGACCGTTGATTGCGACGAGCCCTGTTTGGAGTCCTGGCGGTGGTGAGGATGATGATGATCCGGATGGTGTTACAGGGATTGATTTGAGGGATGTGGATCAGGACGATGATGAGGAGGATGGAGAAGAGGGAGGGTATGGGGGTAGTTGGATGGATAGTCCGAGTCATAAGAGGAGGGTGAGGTGTTGAGATTGTTGTTTGTTGTTGGTATTGTAGTAGTTTTATGAAACATTTTGCGGTAGAGAGCAAAAAATAGACGTTGTATGCATTGGCAAAGTCTAGATGGAAAACATGGAAAAGGAGAAAAGGAGAAAAGGAGAAAAGAAAAAAACGCCATGCAATGCTTATCCGTTCCACCCCAAAAAGAACGCCATTTTAATCAACGCCAATTCAACTTCCACTTCACAACTCTTGCACTTCCCTCTCATCATTCCTCCGCCCCTTATCCATTCGAAACCCCACCTCAGTCCTCGCATCATCCGTCAGCCTGCCCCACTCAAGCAAGAGACGAAACATGTAAATCTCCATGTCTTCTTTCCTAAGCACCTTCTCTGTCCACACCTTGCCATCTCGTGCAATCTTCTCAGCAGCCTTGACATGCCCCTCCATCATGCGCTTGTTGCGTTCTTCGACGCCATAGCCACCAAAGTACGCAAGGCTAGAAAACAAGTCGTGCAGACGAATGTCGACAGGGACAAAGTGTTTCCAGGCGGTGAGACGGCCCTCGTACCATTCGCGAAAGAGGGCAGCTTTGAAGACGACAGAGTTTGACTGGAGAAAGGGGATGAAGCGGGTTGAGAAGGCGGCGCCGTCTGTGTCGAAGAGATAGCGGTAGCGCCAGTGTTGTCGAAGGTCAATGGGATCCGCGAATCCAAACTCATGCGTCTGATCGATGCAGTCTAGGCCAGCACAACGGGCAATTGGGCCAATCAGACGGGCATCCGTCTTGGTCTCGAGAAGCCTCTTGATGTCGTTTGTGCGCTTGAGCATGTACTCGAAATGACCGCTGTGGTCAGTCTTTGGTAAGAGAATGGGCTGTCGCAAGGTTTCATTGTTCAAGAGATGCACAAGTCGCTGGCGAAGCATGCCTTTCCAGGTTCCGTATGTAGTCGCACCTTCGGTAGTCGTACCGCGCCAGAAAAGTACATTCACCTTGTCTACAAAGCGGGGGTCAGGAGACTTTTCGTCAAATCCGTACTTGTTCTTATCCGTGTAGTACCGGGGCGATGGATACCGAATGTCGACAAACCCGGGAGCACGGCTTTGGCTGAATATGGGTACAATATCGTGAGTGCCCATTAGGTTCGACGGGCTAAGGTGCATGCCGTGGAGATTGGCAAGATCAGGCTGGTGGCAGGGATCAGCTGACAAAGTCCAATTGGATACAAAAGCACCGAGAGAATGGTCCTGTGTGCAGGTATGACAAAATATTTTCGTGTTCCAATGGCGCTCTTTACGGGCTCGTGAGTCGGGCGGGCAGGCGATGGAGCCATACGTTTCGAATACAGGCTTTGTTTGAGCGTTTTCGAAAAAGTGTGGATCGGTCCTAACGCGGTCAATGTGTAGCCATTTGTCTGCGCGGTCCGCACTGAAGCCTTTGGCTGAGCGAGTCGAATCAGAGATAGGATAAGGCTGGGGATTATCCAGCGCGTCCTGCAGTCGCTCATAGGGAACTGCCACACGACTCTCATCCTGCAGATTTATAGCCAGATCCATGTCCGGAAGAAACTCGGCAAACTTCTGAATCATGGCAGCCACACTGTCCATTGTCTCTCGGTGCGCTTCTTCGACATTTTCAAAAACCTCTGCGTTTCCATCTCTTATGCGGATCCCACCCACGGCTTGGCGGGTGGCCAAGACAGTCGCCGTGCGCAACCGCAAGTCGTCAGGATTGAAGGAGGAAAAGGGCGCCAAGTCCTGCTCGATGTTGTCGTAGTCGTCAATGACGACTGAATTGCGGCTGACGGCAAAACTGTACCACTTGTCGAAATTGGGTGGTGGGTCACGATTGTAGCGTTGGCGGTAATGCACTACAGCCTCGGCCAATGAGTTACTCCGATGTGCCTGCGAAGCCCACTTGTCGTGTTCCACGGAAGCTATGTCGATTAGAGTAGTGATTGGGTGTTCGAGCAGAGGACCTTGTCGGCGGTATACGACGACGCCTATGGAGAAGGCGATTAGAAGGACAATGAATGTGGCTGATTGGTTTCTGCCAAGCCGGAATGGGACCTTTGACCGAATGCGGGTTTCGATGTTGGTATCTGTTAGGAGATGAATGATGAGTGCAATAGTAAGCAATGTAAAACACAAGACTAGTCCAACCGTGGACTTTGGTGGAAACGCATGGGACACGCCGGTCCCGAGTGCACGAAGAACGCCAATATATGCAGAAGAAAATGCAACAGTGAGTACCGAGCTCATAACGCCATACAATCGAGCCTGTGTACGATGAGCAGAGGTTCAAAGTGGGGAGAAGGGGGTGTGAGGACGTACAGATTTTACAAAACATAACGTCGTAAAGGGTATCATCAATGATAAACGCAAAAGACCAAGGAGATAGTCGGAAGAAAACGAAAGCATCCACTCGCGATGCTCAGGCATTGCAGGGTAGATGATAATGCCAGCAACAACAAGAACCAGGGAGGAGGCCTGATGCGGTTAACAAATGGGGTGGTGGAGATTTGTGAGACGCTGCCTACAATAAAAGTCATTCCAACCAGGACATGGTTGGAGGTGCCGTCTTGGAGGAGGATAGACCAGTCGTCGGGCTCCGAAACGCCATCGTCGACGAGGCGGTAGAGGACCTGAAGGATCAGGCAGTCTAGCAAAAAACCGACAAACTGCAGCGAAGGAACGGCCGTGGCATCGGAGTTTGCAATGGGGCAGATGTACGAGGAGCGCAGGGTAGTCGACTTGATACTGACGAGGAAGGTGCTGATGGCGAGCAGGAGCGAGGGAATAATGTATCGCGTGGAGCCATTGAAGACGAAGCCAAAGACGCGGTCGAGAGGTGAGCGCATGCGGGTGTCAGCACTCCAGGCGGGGTACTGGCGCTGGCTGGGATGGCGCAGGCTGTGGTAGAGAGCGACGACGAGGGGGAGAAATGCCTGGACTGGTTTAGCATGGGTGGGGTGGAGAGGATATGGGAGGAGGTGCACACCAAAGGAGAAGGGCCGGTGCACTCGACGTTGGTGGTGACGCGGTAGAAGATGGCTATGCGACCGCATATGGCGAAGAGCAGCACAGCCAGCAGAGCGCCGACAGCCCTCAGGCCCCATGGTCTGCGGGAGGCATGGAGCCCGGCCTCTGTCCAGATCTCCTCGCCAGGGTGTCTGGTTTGGACGTTGTTGAGGGCGAATGCGACATAGGTGGTGGTTGACAGCGGCTGATGCTGGTGGAGAGGGTGAGGATGGTGATGATGAGGGCGGCGGCGGGAGGACCAGGCTTCGACGGCGACGAGGGCAAGGCCGGTGAGAAGCAAGACGAGGGCGGTCGTGTGCAGCGGCTTGTCAAGGGCAAAGGAGTAGTCGACGGGGGCTGGGGTGGTCAGGTAGGCGGATGCTAAGACGAGGCCGCTGTGGCCTTGGTCAGTATGGACGTATGTATGTAGCGAGGTAGTAGAGGGCAGAGAGGCATCCGTCGCGCTTACCACGGGAAGAAGAGGGCCCTCCTGTCCATGACGACGGCATTCTTCGTGCTGGCTTGGGGCGACGATTGCGATGCGACGCAGAGGGCGTGGGCGAAGGGAGAATTGGAGGTTTGGAGACTTGTGCCTGTCAGTCTTGGTCTCACCCTCTGCCTCTCGCTCTCGCTCTCTTGTCAGGCACACGCACGGCTGCTCGGCACCTGCATCTGCCCGTGCCCGCCGCCCCGGGCTTGTCCTACGTAGTATATGAACCATACGTTCATTTCACCAATAACTACCCAAATATCCATCTCCACTAGCAGTCTATCTACTCTACACATGTACACATGTCCACACATCGATTCGTCGCCTCATCTTTTGCTTGTGGTTATGACGACGACCACGACGACCACGACAACGACCACTCCCGCCAACCCGCGGCCCAAACCATGCACATCCACCCCTCCGTCTTCACCCTCCCATCTGCATGCATGCGAACAAAGACGGCCAACCCGGCCGCTGCTGACAGGCTCTAAACTGAGGCTATGTTGCCCTTGCAACAATGTTCTACGCGCCAGCCTCGCCCAGCCATGGTCGCCAATCGCATCATGGCTGCCATGACGGCCGTCATGGTGCTGCTGTAGAGCACGCGGGGCCGCCTGGTGGTTGCGAGGCCGCGCTGCCTTTGAGGCGCTGCAACTGTCCTCCATCCTCCATCCTCACCCTCAGCAAGCCCTTCCCCCCCCCCCCCCCAAGTCCCGTCATGTCAGCAAGCACTCGCACCATTCTGACCCGTTTCACGCAGTCATGACTCTATTGTTTCATCATGATATGTACTACTATACTATAGACACTATCCTCACCTTACTCTCGTCACATCTTCGCACCCCTGTCACTTCCCATTACTTATGCACAGCCACCACAGCTCTCAGCTCCCAGCTCCCAGCACCCACCACCTATGACTTCTTCTCGCCGTCAACATGCTCGGTATGATCCGGCGACACGGCCTTGTCACCGTGCACAATTTGATTCTCCGGATCATTAGCATGCGCGTTGGTGATGCCAATCTCGGCTGCCGAGAAAGAGTCGACGACGCTCCTGTATGCCGGCACAAAGTTAACGCAGACGGCATACGTCGATGCGGCAACGAAAAATGCCAGCGGCACCGTCATGGCAGTCGCAGTTGGCGCATACCCGTCAAGCGGCCTCGGCTTGCCCAGTGAGTCGCTGGCTGCAAAGAGTAGAGGCGGCACCACAGCACCGCCAGCAACACCCCCTACAATGAAGCCCGATCCTCGCTTCGAATACTTGCCCAGTCCACGCATGCCCAGCGCCACAATTGTCGGGAAAATGATACTCTCGAAGAAGAGCACTATGTACAGCATGCTCATGCCCGTATCGCCTCGCTCGGTAATGGCGGGAATAATGAAGATGATGCACATGGTCATAAAGGTAAGAAACACCCATCGCGGCTTGGTCACTTTCATGATTGCGCTGCCCGCAAACCGGCCAGCCGTAAAGCATCCTTGCGCGCCCGCCAGAAATCGTGATGCCGTAGCATTGCTTGTCTCTCTTCCATTCTTCACGCGCGTTTCAGTAACGTAGTTGATGAATGCGCCGGCAATGGCAACCTGTGCGCCAGTGTAGCAGAATTGAGCAAACGTCGCGTGGAAGAGACGGTACTGCTTGCGGAACGGCTTGACGTCGGTGCCAGCATTCGCGCTCTCAGCCTGAAAGGCCATGTCGGCATCTAGTTCTTATTAGCCATTAATCCCAATCTGCACGTCATGTGAAGCCTACCAGTAATCTCTGGAATGTCGGTAAAGTAATACACGACTGCCAGTGCAAAGACAAAGCATGCAATGCCCAGATATGTCCATTGCACGTTCTCCAATGACTTTTGGTCCGTTCCTACGTTGTCAAAGAAGACATACGAGGCCAGTACGGGCGCAACGACGGTTCCAATACCGTTGAACGCCTGCGCAATGTTGATTCTGATTTCTGAGTACTTTGGCGGTCCACAAACTACGAGACATCAGCACCTCTTCCAATTTGCCACTATACTACCCCACAAAAAAACATACCTGCAAGATACGGGTTCGCCGCCGTCTCCAGCGATCCAAGTCCATTTCCAATCACAAAAGTGGCCGCACAAAAGCCGCCGAACGAGCGATACACCAAGCACGGCCATGCAAGTAGAGCTCCGATGCCAAACAGCATCAGACCCCAGATAAACGTAGCCTTGTACCCCCAGTGTCGCAAGATCCAATTCGCATGTCCCAACGACGCAAGCGGATACGCACCAAAGTACGCAGCTTGCAGTCCCGACGAGCGCGATCGCGTAATTCCCAGCGTGTTTTGAAAGTGCTTGTTCAGCGTATCAATGAGACCATATGAGAAGCCCTAGTAAGACCAACTCGTCAATACTCATCATGACCGCTTTGCGAGCAATGTCGAGCCAGAAAACTCACCCACAGAAAAAACAAAATCGTAACAAGACACAACGGCCCAATACTCTCTCTCAGCGTGAGCTCCGCTGCTCGCGTACGCTGGTCATCGCGATTCCGTAGTCGGGGGCGTCGGAGGAAGCCCATGATTGCTTGCCGCTTACGATAGGTTTACCTCAAAGTAAGCTCGTGTATATATATTTACTATCTTTCTAACTTTTATACGTCTGATCTCAAAAAAAAAAGAGAAAAGAAGAGGAGGAAGAGAGAGAACAAGAAGAAGAAGAAGAAGACAGGAAAATAAGACGAAACCCTTCGAACCCTCGATCAAAAGAGTGATAAACGCTGCAGGGTCGTGCCCCCCTCCCCCGCCCTTCCCTTCCCCTCCCCTTCTCCTCTCCTCATGTACCACCACACGGCAGAATTATCGGAAACCCAAAAACCAACCAAACCTAGAACGAAACCCCCGTCAAAGCGGCGATTCGCTGGTGACACCCATGCAAGGCAACGGCAAAGCATGGCCAAGGCAAAAAAGCCAGCAAAAAAAGCTGGGGTAAGTCTGGGGATCGCGGCGCTAAGCCCGCTTGGCGCCGTTTAATGACGTTTGTGAGGGATGCAACTACGCCGATGCTAACATGGGGGGCTTGTAGCTTCTCGGTCGAGTAGCGACCGAATGGGGGGGCGGGGTGGGTTTTTGGACATGTGCATGTGGCCCATTTGCGTGAGGGAGTTGGGTAAAAGCTCCGATGAGGCGGTGGGAGGGTTGGTAGCGGTAGGTTTGTCGAGGGGATGCACGGGCGGAGAGGGGAGGGGTTGGGGGGGGGGGGGGGGGGGTTTACGAGGGACACAGGGTCACATGATGGGTGTATACGATGTGAAGGAACGGGGTTTGGAGGAGAAGTGTAGGTAGTAGTATGTATGGAGTTTGGTGATCATAAAAGTAGATGGTAGCGATCTAATCTTTATTCTTGAAATCCAACCCACTCTCCTTACGCACCGCACCGTATATACTCGGTATATCGCCCTTATCCCCCAACTCGCTCTTAACCACATCCAGCCGTGCCTGAGCAAGCGTAAGCATCTTCATGCTGTCCGCCGCGCCGCTACTTTGCGCAATCGCCATAGCGTGGCCTGCATCTTTTCGTGCGAGATCCACGTGGAACAGCGGTTCCTCGCGCTGGTAGTAGTCGCCGGCTAGCATGCGCTGCGAGTATGCTGTGTATGGACCGGGGAACAAGGCAGAGATAAACGTATGCAGGTTATCGACGCCCAGCCCGGATTTCTCGGCCAGAACGTGGCCTTCGGAGAGCTGCGAGACCATGTTTAGAATGAAGGTGTTGCCGATCACCTTTAAAAGCGTGGCGTTGCCGGCGGGTTGGGACGAGTAGTCGATTGTCGTGCGGCCCATTACGCCTGTGGTGTAGGGAGTTACCCTATCACAAGCGGGCTTCTTGCCCGCTACGACACAGATTAGTTGGCCGTTATCTGCCATGGCTGGGGCGCCGAAGACTTGGGCGCAAGATGATTGTTAGTCTAGATCGCGGTGGAGTGGTGGTCTTAGTACGTTCATGGGCTTACGTACCAGGCATGCCGACAAATTCTCCGCTATTTTCGATGATGCGCTGCTCTAGGCTGTTTGTTGTGTCTGGATGCACTGTTGAGCAGTCTACAATGACTTTGCCTTTTACATCTTCTTGCAGTATGGCATCCACCGTAGTGTTGACTGCGGCATCATCACCAAGACACATGAAGACAACGTCAGCAGTCTTGACGGCATCGCTGACATTGTCGACGACTTTAGTCTTGGAAGTGCCGAGCTTCTGCGAGAGGTCCTCGGCGCGGGCTTTGGTACGGTTGTAGAGAATCAGAGGCTTGTCAAGGTCACCCTTCTCCACGAGGTTCTTGCACCTGGTAGTTGGTGTTTGGTTAGTGTATTTTCAACGACTCAGCAGTGACCATGGCTCCACTACTCTTGGAGATTCAACAGCAAAATCTGTAATGGTGCCAAGAATCTTCAACTAAGGACGTTAACTTACATGCCCTGTGCTGATTAGTGACATTGTGAATAAACGTAGTCGGCTAGACTTGCCCTGCCCATGTTGCCGAGGCCAATCCAAGCGAGTTGCGGGGCCATGTTTTTCTAGAATGCTTCGGAACAGACGTGAGATGTGTTTGCTTTTTGGAATAAGACGCGGATTCGATACTATTTGAATATCGCCAATGTGTATTGCACAGTTATCGTGTCGTTGTCATGGTGTTCATGGGCCGTCGATTGCCGGTGTTAGAGCCAACGGGCCGATGTCGGTTGCGAGCAAATGACGTGCAACTGCCGTTACTATCAAAGTTTAGGGTGGGCGCAAATATTCACGCATTCGCGGAGTCATACATTTCGACTTCAAGCCCTCAACGACTCAATACCGTTGGACCTTGGTGTTTAGATCAACCGGACGGAGGGATGAAGCATGTTCATCTGGAGAAAAGCCCCCGCGAGGGGCTTGGGGAAGGCTACGCAGAATGTGCGTGTCGAAATTTTGAGCGCGTTCGAACAATTGAGCGCCGTTACTAACAACACAACAGCTTCCCAAATGCGATGACAAGATTAAGATACTGGCAAAAAGCCAACACGCATATCTCTCGACCTCGACCACTTATATCCGTAAATCCTCGAGCTCTGCGAAAGAGCGCCAACGCGCAGAACGCCAGCAGCTCACCCGCCTGCTGAAAGAGTCGCCTGGAAAACGCGATGCACGCAACTTTCTCAAGCAATTCGACGCACCCAAGAAGAACAAGACTCAAGCCAAGCAAAATGTTAGTGCAAAAAAATATCCCGAATTAGGGTCATTGCGGACTGGCGTTAATTTGGGCGACTTGTACAAGCCGACCGTCTTCACACGCGAACCACTCCCAGAAGAGCAGTATCAGGCTGGAGAGAAAGATGAGCCAGTACACTTGGCGCTGGTCAAGCTCCGGCAGCCGCAGACGCTTGACGATCGTGTACTAGGCGACATAGCATTGACGTTGAGCCAAATGGCTCAGCTTGGTTTCAGCGTGGCAGTGGTACTCGATTGCGACGAGGACATGGGTCCATTCACCACAAACATCCAGTCCGACTATGTCAATATGGTCCGAGAACAAGCATTGCGCATGGTTGCCGCACTAGAGGACTACAATGAGCCTGGCGCATTACTCGTCGAGGACGCCCTGGGTTGCACTCCATTAACAAACAACTTGCCCGGTACCGTTCAAGTCCGTGGAGAAGTACAAGTACAACACAACTATCTACTCTTTCCGCCCATTGACGAAGGTGTCATCCCTATAATCACACCTTTTGCATACGACACAAATCTGAAGAAAGTCAGAGTCCAAGCAGACGATGTGTTGCTTGCGTTGATCCGCGAGTTTTCTGGTATCGCCAGCTATGCCAATGCTAGTGACTCGCAAGACGCTACAGAAAAGAAGACAGCAGATACGATTGATAAGCCCATCTTGGACCGGGTCATCATCCTGGATCCCCTGGGAGGTATCCCATCTGAGAAACGTGCAGATGGCGCACATGTCTTTGTTAACCTTGAAGCTGAATACAACGACATCAAGCAAGAACTACAGCAGCTTTCGCTGATGAACGAAACACGTCGTGACAGGACGAACACATCACTTGGTAGTGGTAATCCCTTCTCCAAGTTTGTTGAACAACAGGTGGTAGCATTGCCAGGCACAACGAACGATCAATTGGGCAGCTCAGCTCCTATGCGTCATCTAAAAAACCTCGAGGTTGTTCAACGCGGTCTGAAGCTGCTACCCCCATCCTCATCTGGTCTGATTCTCACCCCATTCGAGGCTGCACGAAAGGCCATACCTGACGATGCACGAACAACACCATCGAAAAACCCTCTACTGCACAATGTCTTGACCGACAAGCCCATGACTTCTTCATCGCTACCAACATCGCCCACGTCCAAGTTTCTAGGATCTGCCGCCCCGAACCCAGCTACATTCTTCAAAAAAGGCATTCCACTTACCATGATACCCGATCCGCGGACTCAGGGGCCCTGGCAGCCGCCCTCCGCCGCAAATCCAAGCATCGACCTGGCAAACGACCCGCGCATCAACTTTCCCAAGCTCGTGGATCTCATTGACGATTCTTTCCGAAGAAAGCTTCACCCCCAGAACTACCTCGACCGGATCCGTGGTCGTGTCGCCGGCATCATCATAGCAGGTGACTACGAAGGTGGTGCAATTTGTACATGGGAGACGCCCAGATCCCTCCAGGGACTTGATCTACCTCCTTCTCCGTCGCACGACTCGCCATACTGGATCCCCTATCTCGACAAGTTCGCCGTTCTGACATCATCCCAAGGCTCAGGCGGCGTCTCAGATATCGTCTGGGCGGCACTTACACGCACGTGCTTTCCCGAGGGGGTCGTGTGGAGGAGCCGGACTAGCAATCCAGTTAACAAGTGGTACCAGGAGAGGAGCAAGGGTATGTGGAATCTACCTGGCGGTCAGTGGACTATGTTTTGGACCACGCAGGGTGTAGAGGAGGGATGGACGGCTGAGAAATGGAGTAGTGCGGAGGCGGAGAAGAGGATGCGGATGAGGCGGTGGGATGCGTATGTAGATGTTTGTAGTGGGATTGAGCCGAGTTGGGCAGATGGTATTCAAAGAGCAGATTGAGAAATAGACATTGAATCAATATCCAAACATTTTCCTGTCCTTTGTCCAACCAACCAATTACCCAAACGCGACGGAAAAAGCACCATCCATCCTCTAACCTCACAGCCAACAACCAAAAAAAAGCCGGTCGATTTAACCCAAAAGCTTGCAACGCCCCTTTTCAAATCTCACCCAAAAAAAACCCCCTCATTCACCTCCCCATCAACTCCCTCAACCTCCCCGCCGCAACCCCATCCACAAACTCCACACTCCTACACACCTTGACCTCTTCCCCCTCCTTCTCAAACCCCAGTATCCACAAAATATCATTCTCCACCACATCCTCCTCCCCCACCCCCTTAACCCTCATAAAATAGCTAACCCGTACAACCCCCCTCATCTGTGCCTCATCAACCAGCACATCACTAACCCTCAAATCCCAAGATTCCATCCGCGGCACCATGGCGCCTAGGTGCGCGGCAAAGGCGTCGAAGGAGAAGGTGCCTTGTAAGGGTGGCGCGATGGAGACGGCGTGGTGGTGGCCGAAGGTGTGGGTGAAGGAGGGGGTGCAGAGGGACTTTAGGAGGGGGATGTCCATGCGGGTTGGGATGCTGGGGTTGAAGGATTGGGCGGAGAGGAAGGAGAGGGAGGTTGTGTGGAGGGATTTGTAGGTTTGGGAGGCGGAGGGGGGGGGTTGAGGGGGGGATGTTGGGGAAGACATGTTTTGATCTGTTGTTGTTTTTTTTGTTCGAATGTGGGTTTTTGGAAAAAGAGGACTGTTTTGTGATGAATCCTTCTCGCTCTATGTTTTCGGGATGAATAGGATGTAGTTGAAGATTTCAAGTCCTGTAGGTTTTTTTTTTGGGGGGGGGGGGGGAGAGTGTTTTCTTCTTCGCAAATCGCACAGGGACAATTGTTTAAATATCATTTCTCCGTTGTATAGGCAATGGAACCCCTCCCGTTCATATGCCCAGTTCCAAGCCCTCAGTCATCAGGCGGGTTGCGGATCCCCGCTTGTTTCGCAGCGGCACAATTAAGGTTGCCGATGCGGGTGCCTAGCTCCCGCCCTCCCGCCGTTCACATCGGACCATTTGTTCAACTGCAACATCACCTGTAGTGGTTTCGACTTTGGTGTTTCCGCTCGCAATTATTAACGAATTACGGCACATGGGACGAGTGAGGGTGTGATGTCGTGAGAAGGATTTGTGCAGCATTGCGCGACTTCCAAAGGCTAGCGAAATCCGAACGTGTTTTGAGGGTATATGTTGTTTTATGTTATGCAACGTGGCTTGTGTTCGTAAGCGCGGAAAATAATTAGGATATTCTCTATATTTGGAGACGAAAATCTCAAGAGAAGGCATCGGAGAGAACCTGCGATGAATAGAGGGTTTGGAGTTGAGAATGGTGTTGAGACAGACCAAGAGTCGGATAAGCTTGTTCGTGTAAGCAGAGGGGTCTAGCTGACTTACAAACTTACTCTGTTCAGAGCTTCCTAGGAATCCCAGATTCTGATGGTGACGATGTAAACGAGAAGAGGGCAGAAATTGTAGTACTGGGCTTGTTGCTGCGACCCATTTTCATGCATACCGTCAACAGGTCCATGTATTACGATGAGTTGGCAGTAAAGTCATGTTCTAGTACCAGATTTCCAGCTTATAATTACCGCGATCTATACCAACGGAAAGACATTGGTTTTGGTTCAAGGTCGGAAACGATGTCCGTACATGTAGTCTAGGCAACAGCTCGTGAACTGAACTCCGCCCAGCACGTCGGAGCGTGTACTTCCAGTCATCATCGCATCGTAGATTCACTGCGAGACGCCGCTTAGGTTCTTTCCATCGGCCTATCATTCTTGTTCGCGCACCCATTCACAAACACTGTATCCATGTGATAATATTCGCTTCCTCCATCTCGAGCTTACGATGACTACGAGGTTCGAGAACGATCAGGCGGCGGACAGTATCGGGTAAACAACGCATAGAAGCGATTTTTCAAGACGTGTAGAAGGAACTAGGAGTTGAATCCGAGCAGTGTAGAGGATAGAACGTGCAATTCCGATGCGATTTCTCTGAGGCTCGATGACTGGACTTGCCGAGCGTAGCTAGGAAAACTGTCAACGTCGTGTTGCCTACACGGTTAGCAATACTCGCGAAGTCTCTTGTTTACAGGTCTATGAGGCTGGATGCAGACAGTCGCATATAGCCAAGTCGTCAAAGCATACTATGCAGGTGTACTCAGCAGTCGCTCTCATCGTGCAGAGCGGTCACATTGTTTTTTTCGAGATCGAACAGATGAAACAGACAGAATACGAGATGATGCCATGCTTCTTGCCGGAACTTTGCCTGTAAGCGCTCCAAGAGCCACGTGCAGTGGACCCATCGGCGACTTTCACGCCCGTGCGTTTGTGACACCGGCCGCAGGGACATTCATGCAGAGAGATACAGAATGTCACAGCCGCACTTCCCGCGTTTCCCGTTAGTTTTCCGAGTCACTCACGTTCTGATTGAACGGTATCAGCGGCACATGACGAGTAATGATTCTATAGCATAAGAATTTCGGTTTCTGCGAAAAGGAGTCCTCGTCCTAAAACAGAGGTTGCTGCACACGTGCCCACGCGATCAGCGGAAGGTACGCTCCGATACGGGTCGGACCGGCAACTTGAAAGCTGGGCAATTTTATTAGAGTTCCTGCGCTGCCAGCCAGACTTGGGGAAAAAACCGTCTTTCCTGTTCAGAGTCGATAGGTTGCAGTCTTGTTGGGATACTCTCTTACGTTTTGCCAAATCTGCAGAGAACAAACCTAGGCCACTTTGTGACAGATGAAGCCTATTCTTCTTCTTCCACTGCTTTCGCCATATATTCATGCCTGTGCTTCCTCTGAATCAAGACCATATCAATCTTCCTTGATATTTCGCCGACGGTTTCCAATAGTCACTTCATTGCCGCATCCGGCCAGATAAAGCAGCAGTGTGTCAAAGGGGTAGATCAGAGGGAAATCCTGTCCTGCTGTCTTCATTTGCATCGCAACTGCGCTTTGGTGCCTTTGGTTCCTGTCTGTCCTCATTGTGTATCGTGTTCTCTCCGATGTTGTGGCCTTAAATAGCGGGACCCTCATGGAAACGTGTTGTATGTCGTATGGCGGAGGAGCAATGGGCATGAATCTTGACCAACTTTACATTTGTCATTGAATTGCAGTTTCCAGCACTGCTCTGTGTTCCTCGACCCATATGGTGCGAGCCCACTGCATGAGCTAAGCCGAACCCCCGAAGTTGCTGACTTGCGGGCCAAGTGTACCGTAAAAGGGCGAACAGATGATCCGTATCCTTCTGCGTTCCCCCGACCGGTCAAAAGAAACATGTGATTCGTTAGCTTGTGTGAGCTAGATGCAGATGTTTGGCCAGCGCAGACGTTAGCGCTATGCATGAATACCACAAGTTGGATTGGTAGACTCTGTAGAGTGTGTAGTACGCCGCCACGTATGACTACAACACCATTCTCCTCTCATCTCTATAGTGCCATCTCATAGCGCTTTTGTATTCGGCATGTTGGTGAGCTATTTTTAATCGTTGTAGTAGCTGCAAGGTGCTTGAACGGGACAAAGGGACGTATTCGAGGGGATGGAGCGCGACTCTGGTCTCGGTGGTCTGATATCGTAATCAAGCTAGGAGTCATCAGTGCGTATTCGAGTATCTCATCCGTAGAGTAAACATACAGGCCACGTCGAGAGGAGGCATCAACATGTGCAGGATGCAGTCGTCCTCGGTGTGACTGATTTGCGAGTGAACGTAGATGGCCCTTGTTGAGATAGAAAAATGCGTTTCCGTGACACCCGAGTCTCTAGAGCGTTTCCATCAAGCAAGCCCGCCGTGCTGGACAGTCATCCGTATTGCAGTATCCTCTATCCTCAGCTGTATCTAGCCACTGCGAGATGCAGTCCGCGGCGGTAATAGGTGCTGCATGGCAGGCAAAGGATCGGTCGTGACAAGCGAGTAAGATTGTTGGAGACGTAAGCGTTCGTCTATGTTTAGGCGAGAGATCGAGTGAGCCAATCCGGCAGGTTCTTTGCCAGAGACCAGCAAGTGAGTTGGTCCTCGGAAAGCAAGGGTATCGATGTCAATACAAACTGTTCAGAAGGCGCTGAGGGGGAAAGGGAAATCCGGGTCGTGTTCGGAGGGTGAATTGTCCCGAAGATCTGCATCAGTGCATGAAGACAGCGGGTGAATAAGTAAGGAGCCAGCATTACATATAGTACTTATTGGAACACGAAGCCTCTGAAAGTATAGTATTTGGCTCGGTACATCACATCGTATTCGTGACATGCTTTTTCGGAAATATTCACATTTTCTGTATGCCTAGTCTCAGTGAAATCCTTTGCAGTCATGCGACTGAGATTTGCGCTTGCCGGTCTGAAGGCTTCAGCTAGCAATGCCACAGTGACACCGCTTTCCACCCATGCATCCATGATACAGTAACAACACCCCATCCACGCGTCAATAGCCAACATCGCATCAAGGTAGGACTAGAGCTTTTACACGAGGACAATTCCTCTAAGCTCCTCGGGAACCATCAAGCCATTCGGCGACACCCCTGAGGCGCGTGTGCTCTCACTGGCGCCAGCGAGCCCTATTGAAACGCACAGCCAAGGGGGCCCAAAACTGCCAGCCATGTGTCACTTTGATCAATCATATGACGACCCTGCTTATCACTCGCATTCGGATAACAATATCCCCCCGTTTCTGACCTGCACAATCATCCTAGCAGGCACGCTTCCAGAACCGTCCAGGCTGTCGAACACTCTCTGTATGCGCAAGGGCTGCAAAGGAAGCAGAGAATGAAGCCGGAACCTGCTCATCTCTCTGCCCACGCCATGCCACCCTCAGATACAGTGAGGCCATCACCTCTTTCCTAGCCACGCAGCTGTATGGTCAGATACATTTATGCGTATTAAACCAGCTGTGACCCATTTTCCAATCTCTATCGTGCCTTTAACAAACTCGCCAACCCCTCGGCGCTTCTCCAATCTTCCCTTTCCTTCCCCAAGTCCCTTTCTCGCTTACAAGCCCATCCTAACCCACCACCCCATGCGTGAATATGCACCCTCTGCTGCATGCGTGCAACGTGAACACGCATTACATATCATTCCCACTTTACTCGAGTCAATCACAGAACGCGAGGACATACACAGCGTGATTGGGTGGCATAGATGGATAGATTGGGGGACAAGGAAACGCGTGGGGCTGACTGACTGGCTTGGGGGTGATGTGACGGGCAGCGGGTAAGAAGTTAGGGCACTAACGTAGTTATTTGGACCAACAAGGCAAGTATCTGGTCCCCCTCCGCTTTCGGCTTTTTGGGCGTGGGGCGGCTGCGCGGATCTTGGGCCAGGCGGGTGCGAAGTTTGAGTGTTTTGCTTCGTCCGAGATTTGTGAGGTGGATTTTTGTGTGGGTTGTAGTAGTCCTCCATGCGCCATGCTAGAGATGTGTGAGGGGAGTGAGATGGACTCTGCTCTACACAATTATCGACTGTACATCACAATTAGACAACACCTGTAAGAGGCAGATAGATGGATAATCAAGCCTGCTTGAAAAAAAGAACCTAGTATTGATGCCAAAAAAAAATGCAGAGCAGAGAAAGAAAAAAGCTACTAAGTAGCCGGACTGCGAAATAAATGAATCCAAGTACATTTCGAAATACGAATTTTACCTCCCGGCCCGGTTTCCCCCCATTGCCCCATATCCCGTTTCCCCCTCCCTACCTTAACCTAAGCAAAACCAAGTTAACAACGTCGATAAGCCACTATGACCACCAGCTTTCCAATGATAACAACAAAAACAACTAAAAAAAAGGAGTGACTGTTGCCGATCACGAAGAATCGTGAATGGAGCGTTTGAATTCCTGATTCCCATCAACTCGACGCCATCTCTCGCGCCAATTTCAACGAGTTCGAGCAAACATAGACCAGGCGAGAGACACGGCCACTCATTCAAGAAGTAATACTCTGGTTCATCTGCGTGCCCAAGCTACGATAGTGGCTTGCTGGCGGCGGCGTCTGCGCAGAATTCACATATCCAGTAATAGTCCTCAGTGCAACCTCGGAGCAGTCTTCTTTTGCCTGAGAAAGATAGTCGCCATCGTACCAGAAGCGAGCCTGGTAATTGGTACCACTGACAGAGACCATGGTGGTCCATGCAGTTCGGCCTCCTGACCTGGAGTGTTAGTGACTTCTCTTACAAGCTGAGGGGTGGATGTTGAAGTAGAAATATGATGGTGCTGCAAATTTTCAGGGGAAGGTGGGTAGGAAGGGCCGCCGTACCTCGGCGATCCGAAAGATCCGTATAAGTTGGCTCTGGTATACCGCGGACCAGGCAATGCTCTGAGCGGGCATGTTAACAGGCGACTGTGTGTATGTATGTGTGTGTGTGTGTGCAATGTAACAGGCTGAGTGGGGGTAAATGGAATACCAACCTCGAAGACGTTGTGACCACGAATCCGGGCTCGTCATTGTAGGCAGACGTATCAGTTGGAACAGGCGTGATAAGAGGCACGTGAAAAAGGGCAAGAAGAGGAACAATGCTTTGTGAACAAGAGGATGGACAGAGTGTGGGGGAAGGAAAGTTTGATACACCAGGGCTGAGCGATGCTCGGAGAAGTTATCAAAGAAAGGGCTACTTATAACCCGGCCGACATGGAGACAGAGGCTCAATGAGTAGCAGGGCGACAGGCGGTGGCAGCAGTGAGTAACAGAGATGAGCGGCAAGCTGCTTCGTCAGTCATACTCTCTTCTAACCTGTGATGCACACAACTGCCAGGAGCCGTCGAGAGCCAGCTGGTTCAATGGGGGCACAGCGAACTTTTTTGCACCCGCTCAACGAAACCCAAGCCATTGGGTCGAGAGGCGCCCTCTAGAGCGGGCCGATGGGGTATGCGAGAACCAAGAACATGGCTAAGGCGAAGCGCAGCCGAATCCTGCATGCGGAGAGTTGATGGATTGCGTGGGTACAGCTCAGGTGAGCAACCATGGCTGTGGAGAGCGCGGTTGGCAGTACCCTGAATGGGGCAAGGGCTGCATGCAGCGTACGCCCGTTCGAAAAGCTGTCAGTTTGGGGGATTCGGTGAGGGTTATTCTGGAACTGGAGCCCAAGAGATTCCATTGCGTATGCACATGGCTGCAAGGCATGATGCTAGTGGGAAGCCAGCTCACCATGCAGCAGTAGCCAGAACTCCTGTCACGGTCGTCGGCATAGAGGGCAGGCCATGATATCATAAGCGGAAGATTTTCAGCAACATTAACAATATGGCCTGGGGCAAAGGTGAGCGGGCAGCGACGGGCAGGCATGGGACGGGGATTGTGAGGCGGGTGGCGGGTGCTTTGGTGACGGCGGACGGCGTCTAACGACGACTTGCATGTGGAGAGACGGAGCGGTTCGCACTTACTGCCTTGGCATGACATGCATGGTGCCCACGGAATCAGCTGTCACATGGCAACAGAGGTAAACGGGTACCTGCTTGGCTGTTTGCCCTCTGTCCGGTGCAGTCATCATGAAAGCAAAAGTTAACATATATCTGAAGCCTTACCTTGTGGCATCGCAGTAGTGCTTGGCGATCCGCTTCACACCTTGCCCGTGACATCTGGTGTGAGGTGCTACATACAATTCCGACCACAAGCCTGTCGAGACTGCTCAGCCGGCACCGAAGCCTCACTTCGCATCAGTGCAGGCTTTTGAGTCCTACGCGTAAGCAAACATTACAATGTACTATCAGTCTACTCTTCAGCATATGCGGGCGTGCAAAAGCCTCACTGCGACCCTGGGGCGTACCCTGCATATTCAGACGCCAGCAACACAGAAAACAAAACAGAAGTCTCACACGTGGCGGGCATTGGACCAAAAATAGCAGAGGGCAATGGGCCCTGGTTTCATTATTCGTTCCAAATAAATGGTGGTATCGTAACGTGGATCCAAAACATGTATCGATCCAAGGAATAGAGTGGCTCTTCGTAACCAAAAAAAACTCAACTCGACAATCGTCTCAACGTGCTCAAGTCCCTGGCGGGAATGGTATCCTGTGAAACCCACGCTCAACAAATGCAGCAAACTCATGACGCAATCCGTGCCGCGGTCAAAGTGACCATGCGCATACCAAACGTCAAACAAGACAGAAATAAGCACAAAAGAAAATCGATAACCAGGCCTGTAACGACGACCGCTGCCCATCGGATCGTGTCCCAACAGAACAGTTCTGACAGCTCTGTCGTACGTGTACCATTAGATGATGCGCCTACCCTACAGTTGCAGGGACATGCGCCAACGCAGCGCGCCTCGAATGAACAAATGTCAAGCAAATCAACGAGGCCGACGCCTCACGTCGCGACACGACGCACAGCCGCCGGTGGTGTCAGTCTCTTGGCTGTGCTGCCGTCGTGTTGCTTTCGGTTGAAGACTTCATCAATCAATCGCCTGGGTCCAATGTACTCCAAATTGGCCATCTTGAAAGATGAGTTGCGCAGCAGCGGAATATGCATGTGCGTAGTCTGCTTCGAGTGGAAACGTCGCTTGATGCAGTCATCCACAAGTGCCATTAGACCCGTTGCAACCACGACACTAGTTTATCAATATTAGCTTGCTGCCTATCGTAGCGGCGGGATCGTAGTTTGTGACTTACTCAGATATGTCCGAGTCGGAATTCAGGATCCGCTCATCGGTGATGCGCATATAGCACGGGGGCACCCATCCACCCCTCGCAGCTTCCTCATGCGCTTCGCTAGGTGTCACGCGCACAGGACAGATATGGGCGAGCGGCTCCTTGTCGTTGTCGTCGCGGACCAAGTAGTAGGAAATGGATTCTTGCTGGCCTTCTTTCTTGATGATGCGTTTCCACGAATAGCCGTTGCCCCAGTATTCAAACGCATATTTCTTGTAGGACTTGGCGCCACGTCTCTTAACATCAATGTGGGCGTAGTTGGAAAACTCGAGCTTGATGGTATTCGTCGGAATCAGTGCCCGGCCTTTGGAGTAGCCCACGGTTTTGGGACGTGACTCAACTAGCTCGTCGTCGTCATCATCATCATCGTCGTCGCGGCGAGTGATGTGGTGCATTGAGTCATATCCCGAGTCTGCTCGCTTCAGGCCTGCTGATGTCGAGGGGCGGGATTCGGATTTGACAAGGCTAGCGAGGGCTGTGCTGGCACGCTGCAGCACTGGCCGCATCTCGGTAGCGGGCTTTTGGTACTTGCGTGTTGAGTGGCAAACCTCACGGCCAGAGTCTCTGCAGTAGCGACGAAGCGAGAATTGACGGGTGCGAAGGTCCTGCATGCGGAGATGGAAGAGAGTGTAGCTCTGTTTCCGGTGTGATCGATCCTCGACCTGTGTGTCCACCCTCAGGTTCATGTTTCCGTCAATTGTCGAGTCGTCATGTCGTATTGATATGCGTTTTGAGGTGGGGAAGAGCTCTCCAAAGTCGCGGGGTGTGGTGGGAATGGCATCGCCGCCCAGCGGCTCATGACGGTATACGGGGACATCGTAGTCGGGCATGCCTTCGGAATCATCGGCAAGATCCTCTTCTGATGTCGATGCATACGTGTCGACTGATGAGCGTGGAGGAAACTGCTGGTAGGACTCGGCTTGATATCGAGGCGTAGCATAATCATGTTCCCGATGGCGTCCTTGTATGCGGCCATGGCATGTTTCGCTGTAGGCCAGAGACGGTCTCCGGCCGCTGTACTCTGTCGGGGCTGTTTCGTAGGAACGGTCGCTGTGTTCGCTGCGACCTGAAGTGGTGCTGTTGCTTGACTGGTACTGTCGCCAATGTTCGGATGGCGCCATGACGTGATGTGTGATGTGACGTGTCGACGGCCACGCGATTAACAAAGGGATACTCGGGAGTAGAGGAGGAGAGTGTGAATAGATGGTTTATTTTGTTTGAATGGCGTTATAGTGCAACGCAGACAAGCGTATACATAGACTACGAGAGACTGGGGCCTGGAGTGAAGCAGGCGGCGCAGCGATCCGAGACAGCTGACAAAAAGGTGACCTGGCACAAGGCGGGCGCAAGGGCCGAGGGGGGGATTAATACAAAGTGCAGGCTGTGGGTGAGAGAGCAGCACGAATGGAGGCGCAGCGCATAGCGTGCGTGGGTGGGATGAGGAGGATGGGGTGGGTGAGAGAGGGAGTGGTGTGCTCGCGGGGTTCTGGATGCCTCGAGGCCGGTTGATCGTTCCCAATGCGGTCGATCAGCGTCAACCAAGATGGCTGCAAAGCACTGCACTGCAACAAGTTGCGCGCAGCGCGCTGCACACGCTTAATGGGCCTTGGCTGCTTGCAGCTAACCGTCGGCCCTCGTCAGCGCCGTTGGCAACCATCTAGACCTCCTAGGCCATCTGACTTTGCCTGCATCGGGTCCGCTGCAGCGCCCTCGGCGAATCGCTGCCGTCCGCTGACCCTCCTTGTCCACCAACCTTGTCCAACGCCCACGCGCGCCATGACAGCCGGCCGAGTGCGAGTGCGAGTGCAATTGAGTGCTCCATGCCAAACCGCGACGCTTCCTGCGCCGTCTGCAGCGTCCGCAACCCTCGCCCACCGTTGAAACAAAGAGGAAACAATCGCGCCCAGCAAACACTCGGCGGCGACACGGCCGACAGAGGCACCAGCACCCTCCCATGTTAGGAACCGCACTGCCTGTGCGAGGCGAGCTCTCGGTCGCCCATCGGATCCGGGCACTTACGGGACGCTCCTTGGTGGCTGATCCTCCCACGTGTATCGATATTTCATGCTGTTTCTCCATGCCCTGTCCCGGTTGTCAGCAGACAATGGCGAGACTCTTTCCGCTGTGGCATTTAGCCATGATGTCGACTCCGATGCCGACGTCATATCCCACGCCCTTGTATTACATATGTTTATACGTACTATGTAGTATATGCGATATGGAGTATGTATGTATGTGCTTTACGGTAGGTTGCGGCAGCTGTCGGCTTGCAATTGCACATTCCTCGGGTCGCGGCCGAGTATGCAACCGCCTCTCTGACGCAACGAGGCTGGACGCTGCCTTGACAAGGTCCAGCCTCCATCCAACTACGGCCGCTAGCTGCTTAACCCATTGCCCAGTGACTGAAATCCCCCACGACGGGTGAACATGATCGTCACGGACATCGAAGATGGTGAGCGACAACAACATTGCAGGTCCCTGGCACAAGCAAGCCGTTGGGCATCACTCGCGCCATTCTTGCTTGTCGAATGCCAGCACAGTTGGTTACTGTAAGGCTTGCTGTGTGGCAACCTGGCGTACCACACGTGATTATGCGATAAATGTATCCCCACACACCTTTTCTTTCTCTGCGCCACCCGTACTGTTTGATTGCATCACTTTGCAGCCTTTTCCCTATCCTTTTTTTTTCTTCCTTTTTTCCGTTCTGCATCCTACCCCAGGATGAAAAGGTTACCTGGCTGCACGAATTGTGGAGCCAATCAAGGTGGGGTGGTACGTGGTGGCTTTGAAGAACAAGCACGACGCAACGACAACAACGACAACAACGACAACAACTCATAATCCATTTCACACGTCATGTCTGAAAATTTTGCTGTAATCAATCTTCACGACTCACAATCAAGATGCCGAGTCAGGCATCGATACAAGACTGGCTTTTGTTATAGGCTTGTTCCATGTTTGCGCCCCTGGATGTATATTTTTCCACTTTCTCCTCTGTTTGGGTTAAGCGCACTGCCAGCGCTTCAGTCACGTGCCTTCCAAGGCTTCTAGACGTTTTGCTGTCCTTCCAGAAACGGTAATCGCCAAAGTCCTCACCATGCCATGTTTTTACCATCAAGGCTGAGTACGTACGTATGTAGTAATTGTACATAGCCCTCTGTCCAAAGCCCTCTGTCCAATTACTAAGGCACGCCTTCAATCACTCCGCTCGGGCCCTTTCCCATGCCCATGCCCATCCGAGTGAGGCGGAGCCGGTACCCGTCTGTCCATGCGTCGGCGGCAAATCGAAAAACAGGAAATCACCTCTCAGGACCATCTTCACATTGCACATAGATACATAACAGCAGGTACAATCATGGGACACACATTGCGCGCAAGAGTCTATATCATTTCCCAGCTTGGTACTACGACTGACCAGTGCCGCTCATTGACTTGTTGATATCGTCAATCGTCGTCATCGTCAACCCGCCCGCATCACTCAAAGTCGGACTTGGCAGCTAGGCCAAGCATTTACAGCTGGCCAGACTTCTCAATCTTGACTTCCTTGCTGGTCTTGCCAGTTTGAGAGCCAACCTTCTCAACAGCCTGGACAACGTCCATGCCCTCGACAACCTGGCCGAAGACGACGTGCTTGCCGTCCAACCATGACGTCTTGACAGTGCAGATGAAGAACTGGCTGCCGTTGGTACCTAGACGACTTGGTTAGCTTGCTCTGCCCACGCACAGATAACATTGTACACATACCAGGTCCAGCGTTGGCCATGGAGAGAATACCGGGTCCAGTGTGCCTTAGCTTGAAGTTCTCGTCCTCAAACTTCTCGCCGTAGATGCTCTCACCACCGGTGCCCTGCGCTACGTCAGCCAGCTGCTCTTCGTTGACAGACTCGGATATAGCAATTACGTACGTTGCCGCGGGTGAAGTCACCGCCCTGAAGCATGAACTGGGGGATGACGCGGTGGAAGACGGAGCCCTGGTAGTGGAGGGGCTTTCCAGATTTGCCGGTACCCTTCTCACCAGTGCAGAGGGCGCGGAAGTTCTCAGCAGTCTGTCAATCGTGGTTAGCTGGTAGCTCGCTACTTGGAACATTTGAAAAAACAAAACAAGGGCGATGGTGAAGATTCTGACAGCGGGGTACTCACCTTGGGAACCTGGTCCGCGAAGAGCTCCATGACGACCCTGCCAGCGGGCTGGCCGCCAATGCTGACGTCGAAGAAAACACGGGGGTTGGTCATTTTGATGGGAGTCGGGTTTGTATGTGCAAACAAGTGTGTGAAGATGGAATGTTGTTGAACAAAGTGATGAGGGGCAGCTTTTAAAAGACCAAAGGGCGGATGGAGGGGCATCTGGTTAGCCGCTTATTACAACGCCATAGCTTCTATCGCTGGTGTGGGGCGCGCTACATTTTCGGCCTCTTACTGCTGACGGCATTTCTGGGCGTCGTCAGTAGAGAGAGGGGTGGAGACGGAGGGGAACTGGAGTAGTTATGCACCCTGGTCCTTCACTCCGCTACGTACGGAGCTCCGCATTTCGTCTCTGCCCCTTGATCGCAGCGGACACGGACGTCCAGTACCATAGTCCCTGGGCTGGCCGAGCGCCTTGTTCAGCTCAGCTCAGCTCAGCCCAGCATAGCGTCCCGTGACTGGCTCCTCACTGCGAATACGAGTAGCTGGATGCTGTACATATCTAAGACCACTCGCGCTTGTCAAAACTAGCCATGCCACGGCCCTTTCCGCTCTTTCACGTTTCGGGACACAAAAACTATCAACACCAGCTTTAGTCCAAGGGTCAAAGAGATGCATTATAGCTACCTATTATGCTGACAAAGGAAATGTGTCGCCGCACTATAAAAAAAAGAAACTATGGTTTACAAATGCCCAGCCACACTGCTGCACCCTTCAACAGCTTCAGTACACGGGTATCAAACAGTATCTAAGGTTGCTCCAAAACCTGCTCCATCTCAGCCTGTCGCGCAAACTCGGCGCGTTCCGCCTTATCCTTGGCCTCAGCCTCTGCCCACAATTGAATCACCTCCTGCTTGCGTTCTGCGCTTCTCGGCTCAAAGGCCATCTCCCACGGGTCTGGCTTAATGATGAGAAGCGAGTTGGACTTGTTGAGGGGCACCTCGATCTCTTGGCCGGAGACAGGGTCGATCTTGCGTTTCAGGTTGAAGGCCCACATGAGCGCTCCGCAACCTGTCACCGTCTCGTCCCGAGTAATGGACATGCCTAGACATTGACGCTGACCCCACCCAAAGGACGTCATGCCCACAATATCAGGGTACTTGGTCAATGGCGCTTGGAACGTAGGCCACTCAGGCTCCAACCATCGTTCGGGACGGAACTCTTCGGGCTCGGGGTACTTGACGGGGTTGCGGAGAAAGGCATAGTCAAGAGGGAGGATACGCGTACCCTTGGGGATAAAGTAACCGTGGAACCAATCGTCTGCTTCGGCTTCATGCGCAACGCCTATTCTCCCGGTTAGTGCAAATGCAGTCAACTTAAGCGAACTGACATACCAGTTGGAACAGTGGGCTTCCACCTCATTGTCTCCTTAATACACGCGCGTAAGATGGGAAGGTTTGGTAAGTCAGCAACAGAGGGAGGCTTGTCACCACAAACACGATCAATCTCGTTCTGGCACTTGATCTGCCACTCTGGGTGGTGAACCATGCTGATCAAGAAGTAGTAAATAGGTCCGGTAACAGTAAAGATGCCAACGAGCGCCATCATTCCAATGACACACGAGGCCTCATAATCGCCAGAGATGCTTGACTTCTCGGCAGTCTCAAGGTAGCTCTTGGTGAAGCAGGCTCGTTGCTGGCCCTTCTCCACCTTTCTTCTAGTGTTCTGTAGGCATTCCATGAAAAAGGCTTGCTGGTCGTCATGGCGCTTGCGCTCACGGATTTTCCACGGATTGATGGGTTCAGGTAAGTAGTCCCAGAGAGGAGTAAGAACGTTGGTGATTGGACCGGCAGGGGACATTTGAGTAAGCAGACCCCACGCGCTAGGGGTAAGAGGGGTGCTAAGTGAGGCATCATCCCATGTCAGTTGGCACATGACCTTGGAGCACATGTCCTCAAGGGAGGCAGAGAAGTCATCGGGGTTCTCCAGAAGCCTGGCGATCCATCGCTTGGCCTCGAATTCCATAATACCATTGTACTGCACATTGGTTGCGCCAGTCAGGTAAGAGTGTGTAAACTTTCGCTGACGAGCCCAGTACTCTATTGTCTTGTCAGTCTATTTCATTCTTCGCCCGCTAGGGGTCAACATACGATTCTTGCCCATAAGGGGCAGATACTCCATGGAACCATATGTGCTCTTCGCATCAAACAACGACTTGATCTCGGGTCGGTCTGAATACACCTTGGCTTTCTTCACCAGCATTTCCTCGGCAAGCTTTTCGTCTGATATGATGACAAAGTTGTCGCCTAACATCTTGGTCCGGTAGATGGGGCCATACATGTCAGACCATTCCTTGAACTTCAGCCACATAAACTCGATGGGAAGGTCATGAATACGACCGATCCACGGGACCAGCCGTGGTCCAGGCATGTTCTGAACATTATATCGCTTGTCGTACTTGGCGACAGCGTCCAATACAGCGTATACGACAAGGCCAGCAACGGCTACGCCAAGCGCATACACAGTGAAAGAATGCATGTCGGTAACGCAAGTGTGATTAAGGAGAGTGTCGAAAGGTATGGGTCAAATATGGTAGACGTCGACAGCCGGTAGCCAAGCCTCGAGAACGAAAACAGGTACGAGAACGGGAAGTAAATGAGGACACACTGACAACGACCAAAGATGCGTGAGAAGCCTGGTAGATATCACACCACAGCTGCCAGGTACACAATCTGTTCTCCGGCTCCCCAGTACGTGCTTTATGTACGAGCATACAGGGACTGATAGTGGGATGAGACGATCCATGACCCTACATCCATCGGCGTGAACATAGGCACCATCGATATGGCCTAAGTTTCGCTTCGAGGGACAGACATCATGCTGTCCAATGGACATCGATGGAAATATGCCGAGCCAATATTTGGTCAGGACCCCACGACAACAACATCCTTGCCCACTCGACATCCTGATACCCCGAGCAATGGGAAATTTCAAGGTCGGTGCTGATGAACACCGACTTATGACACGTTGAGATGGTTCATATTAGGCTTAGGATGTCTGGGTGGGCCCAAAGAGAATAGAGATCGTCATGGACTAAGCGCTTATGCTTGGAATTGAGTGTACCAGACCAGCCAAGCATAGCCACGAGGACCAGATGTGAATGGCGAAACATCATTCTACCAGCCGATTCCCTGTTAACCTACTTTTTGCAAGAAAGCCACAGCCTTTTGCCCCCAAAAAGACAGCCTTGCCATCTGCCACAAACCCTCCTATTGGGTATCGGAAACATTGTCACGCTGCTGTACTCTCCTTGCTGAGGCTTTATATTGTCAAGAGTTTCTATTCAAGTGTCACAACGCATTTTGGGGCGCCATGTTGTGTACCAAGTCATGTCCTGATACTCTGCAAGAGCGTGGCACGTCGTGTACTGAGCCTACCCCGGTCCCCTTCTGGTAAATGTAAGTCTCTTCGGCCTTGAATCCCGCACAAAGACATGCAACACGGCTCGCTTGAATGTCATGACGTCTCCAATAGCTATGCATAGAAAACCAGGGGTATCATTAGGGAAGGTGGTTGAAACTAGCCATGTAAAACGGCTTTTAAATTACATGGGTGGCGGTGGGCTATCGTCTGCAAACCATCATAGGCTGCGTTGATCCACAGCATCTGACAAGCGTCTGCATCTTGCATGGGAGGCTTGATAAATCACTTTTCTTAGAGTTGACTTAGTGTACCGTCGACAAGCTTGGCTTCCGGAGTTGTGGGGAACCATAGCTGCACGCACGGGCGCAAAGCACTCCCGGGAGTTTCTAGTTAGCGTCATCACTCTCGGACGTAGCGCAAGCTCAACAGACCGCGTTCCTGACATCTGCCGCTAAAGGTGTTGATGCTTGCATTGCGTGACTGTCGTCGTGCGATCGCAAAAGAACGTATGTTTGAAGCTGACCGACCACCCGGACATCCGAGAGCCTTCGGCAACCCTCGCTGGTACCCCAACGGACAATGCCAGCACAGCGAAGACTCGACGTGTATGAAAAGCAGGCATGTTGGGGTTCATGTCGGCTTCGACGACACTCCCTCTCTCATCCTCCCTTTACACTCTACGAAATAAACCGCCATCATGCCTCACGCTCTCACCTCCCGTGACTCGACCATGGAGTCGAAGCCAATAGGGTCTTATCCCAAGACTGGCATCGATGTCCTGATTGTTGGGACTGGTCTTGCTGGACTAGTTGCCGCCCTCGAGTGTACGCGCAAAGGCCACAATGTGCAAGTTCTGGAAAGGAATGCCGACATTAACACAGCTGGTGAGTAGGCACCTAGGGGTCTAGCGTAGAGCATATTGCTTATGATCAACTTCAGGTGACATGTATTTCATGGGTCTCAGCGCGACACGTTTCCTGAAACACTGGCCTGAACTTCTCAAGGAGTATAAGAAAATATCACTTCATAATGCCTGGATCGAGACCTTCAAACACTCGGGTGAGGTTGTTATCGGGCCCAAGAAGGTCGCGGACCGTCTGCGTGCCCAGGGGCTGGACCCCGACACACCGCCTGGCGAGTTCCAGATGCGCCCGCTCGTATACAAGATGTTTGTGAGCGCAGTCGAGAACCTTGGTGTCTCTGTAGAGTTCAACCGCAGGGTCATTGACTACTTTGAGGATGAACAGACAGGCAAGGGTGGCTGCGTTACCGATGATGGCAAACGCTATGAGGCAGATGTTGTGATTGCAGCTGACGGTGTTGGTTCTAAAAGTCAAAAGCTGGTAGGCGGGCAAGTGCGTGCAAGACCCTCAGGCAGGGCTATGTGGCGCGCTGCTTTCCCTAGGGAAGCCTTGGCCAAGGACCCCGAGGTCGAGGAGTTCTTCAAGATGATGCCCGGAAACGAGCCTATCGTGAGGACATGGCTAGGGTACGTAGTGATTTGCGATCCAGCATACGACTGTTCTGACCTGCTCTAGCCCATCCACATACGCTCTTACGCTATCCCGTGAAGATGTCATGGTCTGGATTATGAACCACGATGTAAGCTTCAGACTAAGCATCGCTGAGAAACCTAACTAAAGTGTTTTAGGTCACTGGTACTGAAAAAGAAAGTTGGAGCAACACGATCGATAAGCAAGAGGTGCTCGACGGCATGGACACCATGCCTGGTATGGAGAAGATCAAGTGGGCTCCGATCTTCAAGCAACTTGTCGAAGTAACGCCCCCCAACACGATTGTCAACTTTGAACTGCTTTGGCGTAATCCCCAGCCAAGTTGGTGCTCCCCTGGTGCCCGCGTCATCCAGATCGGCGATTCCGCACACTCTTATCTCCCGGCCTCCGGAAACGGCGCAACACAAGCAATTGAGGATGCTATCTCAATAGCTTCGTGTCTACAGATCGGCGGCAAGGAGAACATTCCTCAGTCTGTTCGTGTTCACATTCGATTCCGGTAAGCGCCTACTTTGTTTCCCCTAATCACATCTACACTGAGACTGACTCGCGATCAAAGTTTCATTCGCAATTCTTGCGCTCAAAAGTTAGGCTTCTCTAATGCCGAGCTCCTCCAAGACACCGATTGGGATAAGGTTAAGTTGGACCCACGTCGTGCTGCGCCTAAGCTCCCCAAGTGGGTGTGGGGCCATGACCCAGAGGCCTATGCCTACGAAAACTATGAGAAGAGTGCTCAGTCTCTGAAGGAAGGTATAGATATGAAGGACGAAGACAAATTCGAGCCCAACTACCCCAAGGGATACAAGTACGAGACCTGGAGCATTGAGAACATCATGGAGGACATGAGGGCAGGTAAGGCCATTGACCTCGGTGCTGGTGACTGGGAGTAGCAAGGCTTCCGAGGTTTATTTATGCGGCATAGTCGCGGAGAATAGTCCTACATACTCAGAGTTTTGATATTTAGCCTAATGATGATGGTATCGAATTTTTACTACTTGATCAGCATCCTTTCAATCCTTATGCCGGCACCATGTACTACAAGCAATGCTGTAAGGAAACGACTCTAAAGTTTCTGTCACGCCTGGGGTACTTTCCAGAACACTCGTACATTGCCATGGAGCATAAGCACATGATCAGCGGGAGGGTCCGTTGGCTCGGTTATCTCTCCCAACAAATGCCCACTCTCCTGACTCGTTGGCGCTCATCCTTCGTATACCCCCCTGCAACTCTGTATTCTCTGTAATCCTAACTTCCCAAAGCGTGCAGTCTTCACATCACAATTACATTCCCACATACACATGCGTCTCAGTGCGACACAACACACCATGTTGTCCTTTGCTTACTTTGCATATCAAATACCCTGCATGCATGTGCCTTCCCTCGCATATCCCGGAATGTCGTCGCCCTAGTCCCCTTGTTGAATTGTTGGTACGGAATTTCGACGGGAAAGCGTGTCCATGTGCAGCAAGGCAAAAAAGGAAAATAGTAGGCATGCAACACGGCAACACGATTCCCGTTGCGCAGGTGTGCATATACACATACTCGCCCGTAATCGTACCAGCAAAGCCTCGTCTTTCTTTTCAAAGGAATATAGACATGGCATTGCATCATCTCACTCCCAAAGCATATGATCATTTATCACCAAAAAAAACAAGCGAAAAAAAACACCCCTTCCCTATCGATCAATTCCCATCTCACAATCGTGTAGAGAAAATGGAGATTCTGATCCGAGGAAAAACATGCCATTCTGGTTACAAACAGCCCTGCAAGGCATACCTCTCCTCGTGCTTGAAACCCACCACCGCCACCATCACCTTCAACCCCAATAAAACCACCCACCTTTCGAAAGTCCGAAACAAAATTCCCACGGCTCTCCATCGGGAACTTGAACCCAGAAAATGCAAGACCCGCACTGTAGCGCAAGCGGCATGCGCGGTGCTCCGTGGAAAACCAAAAAGAAGAAAATATATGATGACGTCTCCGATGGGTGGGGGCGCTAGGGATGCAGAGGGGTGTAGGATGCGCGTCACAGATGTGTGCAGGGGGGTTGTGTGTGTGTGTGTGTGTGTGTGCTTATGTGGAGAGGTCAGACTGTGGATTTTTCTTTTGTTATTGTTATTGTTGTCTGACCTGCTTAGGGCTTTTTTTAAGGGTGTGGAGGGGGGAGGAGGGGAAAGTCGCAATGTGCTTTGTGGTGCGAATTTTGGGCGGACGGATCAGTATCAGGGTGTTTGTTGTGAGGAAATGGCATTGTTGTCAATGACAGAGTTGCTTTTTGATTATGCATAAGTGTGAATCTGATGAGGTGCCCCTTTGCTGGAGGGTCTGATGAGAAGACGTACACACGATTCACATGACAGAGGATTGTCCGTCTCTGCAGATGTATATGCTCTTTTGAAGTGCGACACGTGTTGAAAAAAAAGACATAATGCTTGATCAAACTATCAGTGCAGCATCGAAATCACTCACCCAACACAGTTTCCAGCCTCATCTGCAACTCCTCTGCTTTCTTGCTATGCATGAACTCCCTTACACCCTCTACTCTCCTCCCATCCTTACTCATCTTCACAAACAACACTGCTTCAGTCCACCATTCTGTGATTCCGCTTTCTTCAAGTGCCCTTCCCCTGTCTCCTTCGTTATTGATCTTCCCGCCCATGCGACAATGCGCAACAACAGTATCTGTGTCACGTGAGAAATGCACTGCGGGGCCACCGTACCCGTCGTCTTGAGGCGTCACTTCGAAGCTGCTGAAGACATCAAACATGGCTTCCATATTGTCGCGAAAGGTGCGGATAGGTAAGGGGGGGAGTCCCCAGTCAGAAGGTAAGGAGGAATGGGTGAAGTCGCGGGTGGCGTGGGTGGTGAGCGCGTGGGGACTCAGTGTGGAGTAGCTTCTTATGAACGCGTTGAAGGTTTGCATATGTGGCGCGTTTTCTTGAGATTGCGAGGGATACAGATGGTATGCTAGTGGTGCAAGGGTTGCAATAGCTGCGAGGGCCGCGGTTGCAAAGCGGATCTCTGATTGCGAGAAGTGGAGGAGGTCTGTCATTTCGATGGCTTTTGAATTGATGATTCGCTGCTTGAGGATAAATTATTCATATTGGAAGCCTCCGAGCTACAGTCTGGCTTCATTGCTAGGTTCATTGCTACAATGGCCATCCCAGTCCATCACTGCTGATAGCGTGGAGGACCGGTGTCGTCACTTACTTCAGCTCTACCCGAACTGATCAACGAACCAAACTCCGACAATTCACCTAGTTTGATCTACGTGCATATCCCACACTTTTTCATCTTTGCACGAATATCTGCAACACCGGAAATCAAACATGAAAAACACGGTATCGTCTGCGTCAATTGTTCTCTAGCACAGCCGTTGTCAGTGCATATGCAGTCACCCACCAGTATCGGTAGGGTTTCTCACCGACCTGACGCCACATGAAACCTTATGAGAACATCATTCATTCGCCCGTAGCCCACGCACTCTGCCCATGGAGTAGTGCGCCTGGAATCACTGCCAGAAGAAACGGAGCGCCTTTGCGGGGCCGGTGGTCCCTACCTCTGTGCGACACAATCACGTGAAAGTCTTACATGCATATTAGCGATGCTGCCACTACGTTCTCGTATCCATGATTCTCTCTTACTGCCATTCAATCTTTGAGGCTTAAAAAGGCAATTTAACTTATTAGATTTATCACCAAGCCAAACCACAAGTTCGTCAACAACCAAGCATTTTCGCCATGGCCGCCACAAAAGCCATCCTCGTCACAGGCGCCACTGGCAAGCAGGGCGGTGCTGTCCTCGAACAACTCGCATCGCACCCTTCCAGCTCACAATTCACACTTCTGGCCGTGACCCGTGATACCAACTCGGGCTCAGCCAAGAAGATTATCGAGCGCCATCCCGACGTAAAGCTCGTACAAGGCAACCTCGACGACCCCAAAGCACTCTTCGCCTCCGCCAAAGCCGCGCTGAAGGAAGCCGGTAAAGAAGAAAAAGTATGGGGTGTCTATTCCGTACAAGTCTCGCTCGGCAAAAACGTCACTCACGAGAGCGAAGTCGTACAAGGCAATGCCATAATTGACGAGTCCATTGAACAAGGCGTCACGCACTTTGTCTACTCGAGCGTTGACCGCGGCGGCAACGAGCGCAGCTTCGAGAACAAGACGCCCATCCCGCATTTCCAGAGCAAGTACGAAATTGAGCAGCATCTTCTTGAGAAGGCGGGTAAGAACGGAGAGAACATGGGATGGACTATTCTGCGTCCCGTGGCGTTCATGGATAACCTTACCCCTGCGTTTCCCACAAAGGTTTTCCTTGCTGCGCTGCGCGATACCCTGCAGGGAAAGTCGCTTCAGTGGGTTTCGGTCGAGGATATTGGGCTGTTTGGTGCGCGTGCGTTTGTTGATCATGAGGAGTGGAATGGACGTGCAGAGGGTCTTGCGGGCAGCGAGTTGACCATGGATGAGATGAGCGGGTGCTTTGAACGCGTCATTGGCAGCCCGCTCCCTGCAACCTACGGATTTTTCGGATCAACGCTCATGTGGGCGGTGACGGAAGTGAATGTTATGATTAGCTGGTTTGCAGCTGAGGGCTACGGTGCTGATATTAGCAAGCTGAAGAAGGAGGAGCCCAAGTTGTGTGATTTCGAGACTTGGCTTGCGGAGAGGAGTGGCTGGAAAGATCAGGCTATCAAGAGGTAGCTATGTTGGGAGATTTAAAGGATAAGTGAATTTGGATATTTCGGCAGGTCCTTGCCTCTATCGGTCTCTGGGAACCATTTCCTTGTGTAGCAACATTTGAACGTTTTTTTAGTAGTCTATTGCCTTCTATATTCACGAATCCAGATAGGTATTTAAGATGGATACTTCAAAAGACATACTTTTAAAATATCTTGGTGGCTGATATTAGAAGACTCGTGATATACTCTAGGTACAAGAATACATGCTCTCAGCAAGATGGAACTTCACAGTACGCAAAAAGACGTCTCAGGCCCAAAATAACAACCAAGCGCTTCATGCTTCTCATGCTAATCATCCATGACATCCCGTAAAGGATACATTCCACAGCTACCGACAAAGGCCAACCTTTTCCTCTCACCACCCCAGCACACCCAACTCTCCACCCAACCCTCTACAAAGAAAGCAAGTTCCACAGCGCCAACCCTCCAGCCACAACCGGCGTAACCAACCTCAACCTATTCCAGCTCGCCCACTTGGTCGCAATCTCCTGCGCCTCGCCCAACTCCTTCTCGCTGCTCCGTTCCGCCAACGCCTCCAACTTATCATTTAGCGGCTGCATGTTGATTGCCGAGTGCAGAATCGTCGTCAGATGCATCAGCGCCGCAACACCGAAAAGCCTCCAGTCACTGCGTGCAAGCATGCCCTCGCGGTACACAGAGTAGCCCGCGTAGGCGTACCCAAGGAACCCGAGTGTGGAAATAGGGCGGAAGAATTGGTTTCCTACTGTCCAGCAGAGCGGCCATTGGCGGCCGAGGAGGCGCGCGCGGTCTTTGTGGTCCGGTGAGCCCGGGGGAGGGAAGTTGACGAGGAGGGCGGGGACCGTCATGTAGGATTGTGTGATGGCATTTCCTGTTTACTTCATGTAAGCTTGATTTCTCCTTGTAGCATTCTTCATAGCAAGGGTGATATGGCAACGTACCGGCGAGGATAAAAGAGAAGGTGATGCAGGTGCCCGCCACGCTCTTGACATAGATGTTATCCGACATGATAGTAATATTGATACTTTCACACTGTATACTCTTCAACGCAATACGGTGAATTACTCAATGTTAAATCTGAAAAGGCAGAAGAAGAGGGAAAATAAAGATCAAGTATATCCAAATGTGACGAAACTCCTGCTCAATAAACACTTGCATCCAGCAACCCCTCGGATCACGTTTCACAACCTACTAAACAAATAATAATCAAAAACCCCTACCGCCCAAGTCCCGATGGGATTCCCCCGAGACAAGCTCCGTGTTGGGGGATGTGCGGCGGGGCACAACGCACCACATACCAACAAGGGTGTGTGAGGGTTGTTGTTCCTGGTGTGTGTCCCGGCAAAGTGTAAGTTCGGTTCCCCACGTCCGTCGCACCCCGCGCTAATGATGCGGTCTTCGGGGTTTGTCCTTGTTACATCATGACAGTCCTAAAGTTGCGCGCGATGCGAAACTTGGGCGGTCTGGGTATGCGATTGCTTGGACGCGTGTTTGGAAGGGGAGAGATGGTGTCATGTGTCGGCTGTCGTGGCATAAGTAAGGAAAGATTTGAAGCAGCTGATGCTCTACGTTCATTCTTTTTTTTGTATCGTATTCAGCGGGAGCACACGATCATTGTTGATCGGATTGTGAGATTACTACATTGATGTGCGTCGAAATGCTTGGGGCTGTTGGCCCGTCTGGACAACAATCGAATGAGTGACCCTCCTCCGCGGCGTAGTGCTATAGCAACGTCAGGTGACCAACTCCATTGTTCTCGTCTCAAGAATTCTTTAATAATAATAAAAAAGGTATTTTTAAGCGATGCTAATTGAAACTAATAGTGAACTACAGAAGTACATAGAAAATAGTAAGCAATATGAACATATTGCTACATGGAAGGCTGCGCTAAGTGAAGTCGTAGTGTATTACACCTGCATACTATTTTTCCGTCAATAACCATGCACTAACTTTCATTGATGGAATATCATGAATCTACAGAGCTAGATTGGTCCTACTGCACGCTAGCAAAGTTCCACGTTACATTGGTCCCGACATGGTAGACATCGAATATGATGAAGATTGGAACACCAAAAACCACCAAGTCCTTCAAAATGTTTTTAGAAACGAGTCGATGACATGACTGAGAAAACATATGTAAAAACTCTCTAAATATCACCATACTTCACCCCAACTCACACAGCCAGCATCATCACTTGCCGCGAATAACTTTTCAACCCCAAAACAAGCAAATATATTCATAGACGTTGAAGTCTCTGTACGTCTAGTACCCATAGACACACTTGTTAAATCATGCCGTATCTACATATCTTCGTATTCCCATTTTCCCAAAAAAAAACTCCAGATATCCATCTAAACCATGCAAATCTAATTCGACGCTCCATTAGCACCACCCTGCCTAACCATCCAGGTCAGCAAATCCACCTTGGTAACAACAGCAACAGCTCTGTGTTCACCATCAACCTGCTCAGTAACAACTGCCGCACTATTCCACTCGAAAAACTTGTTAAGGTCGGTCAGAGTAGTCTCCTTTGTGATTTCGACAAATTCTCTTCGTCCCTTCTTGCCGCCCTTTTGCGTATTCTTGGCGTTGTCGCCGTCGAGGGAGAGACGGCCGAGGTCCTTGACGACTTCGTTCAACTTCCGGAAATCGAACATGACGTCTTCGACGGGCGACTTTGGTGTGGCGCGGCCGGCGGCAATGTATGAGAGGAGGTTACCGAGAGTGACTAGACCGACTAGTCGGGCCTTGCCGGATGAGGAGTATACGCTTACGGGCAGTTGGTCGAAGCCCTTTTCGCGCATGGTTTCTATGGCTTCGCTGCAAGGTGAGTTTGCGGCGACGGTGGTGACGGGCTTGAGACGCAGAGAAGCAATGGTGGCGCCATGGAAGGGATCAGATTTCTTGCTGGTGGAGAGGCGGCGGAGGTGTGCGTTGGAGTCAGGTGAGTGTGGAGGTGTAGGAGGGAGGAGATCGTTGGCAGCGAGCCAGTCGTCATCGACAAACTATTGTATGTTAGTAAAGATAAATCGTAGAAATTCTAGATTTCGACGTACCTTGCTGAGATAGCTGCGAATGCTGTCGGGTAGTATGACAACCACGACATCGTCTTCAGTCAGATTCATGTCCCGAGCCGCCTCAACCATAGCTGCCATGGCGCTTCCAGAAGAGCCACCGCAGAGGATACCCTCCTCAGCGATCAACCTGCGCGCATACTGGAAAGAAGATCGGTCGTCGGTCTTGTACCACTTGTCCACAATCTTCTGCTCCAAGACATCAGGAATGAAATCGTATCCAATTCCCTCAACCTTGTACCCCTCATTCACATGCTCGTCGTTCAGACTTGCGGGAAGCGCCAGAATACTTCCATGAGGATCGGCTGCAATAATCTTGACGTCTTGCTTGTGTTTCCTCAGACCCCGTGCAAGACCGGTAATTGTGCCTCCAGTTCCAGCGCCGGCAACAAGCATAGTAACCTTGCCCTCTGTCTGCGCCCATACCTCCTCAGCGGTGCCGCATTCGTGAGCAAGCGGGTTATCGACATTCGAGTACTGATCAAGGATATGCGCATTGGGAATTTCCTTGACTAGTCTTCGCGCAACACCAATGTGGCTCTCGGGGCTATCCCACGCTGCGCTGGTGGGCGTGCGGATAATCTCAGCGCCAAGCGCCTTGAGCACTGCTACCTTTTCCGGGCTCATCTTCTCGGGGAGAGTAATGATTGTCCTGTATCCCTTGACTGCTCCGACTAGCGCAAGTCCGATACCAGTGTTACCAGAGGTAGGCTCAATGAGTGTGTCACCAGGCTTTATGCGACCAGACTTTTCTGCGGCCTCGATCATGCGCAGGGCAATGCGGTCTTTGACACTGCCACCAGCGTTGAAAGCCTCAACTTTTGCGTAAACCGTAGCTCGGATGCCAAGCGACTGTGGGATTTTATTCAGACGGACGAGTGGCGTATTCCCAATTTGTTCCATGATGCTGTTCATGACAACGGGTGGCATGGCGGGGCGCGTTTTGGTAGACATTTTCGCGGTTGTCGTGCTCTCCAAGAGCACTCTGGATATATTGGTGTGAAAGTTGAATTGGTGGAGAGAGGAAAAGTTTTGCGTGGAATTAAAAGAAAAAGACGAGTACCCACACGTCAAAAGGCAACAAAGTTACGTTATGGCCAGACGCTCCTAGTTGCGTTAGCCGGCAAGCCAGAGAGTTGACCCGCAAATACCCGCCGCTAGCAGTTCCTCCCGACACGTGATAGGCAGCACAGCCACAGCATACACTTGGCACCGAATCTGTGCATGTTCGGAGAATTTTGACCGTTTCGTTCTTTTTGGGATTTCTGTCGCCGCTTTTGGACAATCGCTTGGAATCAAAGTCGACAGTATAACCGATGCGACCTCCAAATGGCTTCTTTCCAAGGCAGGTTTAACCGTGGTATATCTTTCAAATTCACGCTATGCAATACGTGGAGCAAATCAGCCACCTTATCAGTTAAAAAAAGGGGAACTATGCTGGGATCCCGACACGAATCATGAATGACTTCATGGTAAATATGCACAGCCTGGGACGAGTATCACAATCATTGAATATCGAAGTGAGGCGAATCAGAGCATTCGAACATGTTTATATATAGCCTAACCATGGTATGCATGTAAAAGCCTCTCACTGGCCTATGGAAACCCCGCCTCAACCTCCTTCGCACTGGTATCCCCCATATTCCACCAACTCTGTGACCCGGACCACCGCCTGTGTATCCAAACCCAGAACAAGATGAAAACGAAAAGGCGGTATCGAAAGCATGCTTGACGAAACGAAAAATCTCGACCAGTGGAATGAACCTGTTCCCAATTCCTTTGGGTCAGCCTGCGCGTGCGTCGCACTTGACTGATTAGGGGAGGGAGGAAATGCTGTGCAATATAAAACCCCAAGTCCCCTCAAGCAGACCGCCCCATTCGCTGTTCTTTTCTATTAGTCATCAACGGGGTTGGGGGAAAGGGGGGGGGGTACATATCTAGGGCACACCCTCCTCAACCCCTCAGTGTGTAAATTTCTCGGCATATGGGGGGTTATCGAATCCACATATCACTGGGTGACTATCCCTACCTTTGAATATACCTGATCACGTCATTTCAGAACCCCAATACCCCCTACCCTATCTGGACTTGCTGATATAGGATGGTGGGTGTTGTGGGATGCTGGAACGAGTGCGGGTCGTCTTACGATAAGTGGTGGGTGGTCTCATCCCGGTTGTTCTGAAGAGAGAGAAAACACGTTGGACTGGTGATGATATCGAGCCTGCGGCAGCATTCCGCAGGCCATTCTGAAGTCCAAAGAACAGTATGATGTCAAAGGCTGTGGGATGAGCCTGGAGCAAGAGGTGTCAGCAGATGGTGATGGAAAGGACAAGGCAAGAGAGGGAACTTTGTCTAGAGGTTGATGAACTTACATTGGGGAGGAAGATGTATGAGGAAGAGTAGGATGAAGAAGGAATGGAGGAGAAGGGGGGAGGGCAGTCAATTTATCGTACACCGCTTGCGCCTATGCACATCTCTGCCTTCCATCTATACACACCTTCGCCTTCCACCCCCGTGCTGCGAGATCCCAACAAGCATTCAGCATATCTGGATATCTAAAAAAGTACCAAGAGCACTGGAGCAAAGCGGCAAGTACTTCCAGGTGTCCACTTTCCCTGATGCCTTTCCATCTCAACAAATTCAAATATTCGAATTGATTCACAAGCATTAATGGCAATACTGAATCACTTTACTCTAACTATACAGTACCTACATGGAAGTGAATACAACATCTGCACACAAGTCCCAGTGGGCCTAGTATGGCACAAGGAAAGAAGAGAGAGAGAGAGAGAGAGAGAAGACATGGAAATCACCACTGGGTGCTCTCCTGTATGCCTTGACATATTTCGGATACTTAGACAGGGCACATCACCTTCCCGGCATTGCCCACCACTTTTCTACTCAGGACCCCTTCCCCCTTCCCCAAGTATTCCTGGAACAAAATGAGCAAGAGCAAGAGACATGACATACAAAGGTAAAAAAAAAACTACACACAACCATCCATAGGAAACACCCATACATGGACAGTCTCGATATTTTCTTCCAATCGTTGGCTAATGCCATCCTAAGCTTTTCCTCAAATATATCAAAGATGACATATAGAAAATCGTACTTTGCCTCTTTAACTTTGAAATACTGAAATAGTCGAGAGTAAACTTGGACATATTGCCGAGGGAACATCCGCAACCTTGTAGTAATATTGAACAATGCCTTTTTCCTGCTTGCAAAAAAAAGTGGTAAATCCACCTAGAAGATGAAAATTAACAGTATTAACTAACCATCTATATACACATACATGAACGCATACTCAACGCTCCGCATTGCAAAAACCCCTCCCAATCCCATCTCCTTTCACACATCTCAAAAAAATATATGAAATGCTCAAAGCTGCTCCGCGATCCACTTCCACCACCCATCCAACCCAGGCCCCGACTTGCCACCCACCACATTCCCGCCCACAACCTCGATACTCGTCCTACTCTCCCCCATTTGCTCAAAGCTAAACGCGCCCTCGCCCCCTTCGCCAAGCCACTCCTTCTCCTCATCTACCTCATCCTCGCCTCCACTCAGCGCAGCCCCACCATCCCTCAGCGCCTTAGCCCTATTATTCCTAATCTCAGTAATAGCCTTTTCAAGCGAATTTCTAACCAGATGCTCCGGTAACGCGGTAAAAAGGTCCATTTTATTCGCTGCAATAAGCACGGGGATTTCCTTGGGCCCTTTGCTCGATGTAGCGTTCGTGTATCGTTTTTGCAGAGAAAGAAGCACGTCGTGGAGGTACTCTGCCGCCTCGGTGAGACCAGCTTCGTCAGCTAGCTGTGCGGCGTCGAGCATGAAGATGATGGCGCGGATGTTCTTTGGGTCTGCAAGTTGCGAGGTGGCGTGGTGGCGCAGTTTGCCGTGACCGGGGGTGTCGAGGAGGCGGAAGTTGCGCGAGCGTTCGTAGGCTGGGTCGCCTGGGGAACGGTAGTGCGAGGATGCGGGGGTGTGGGGGCTTGGGAGCAGGGCGGAGACGCTCAGGGGGGTCGTCGATGTGTGTGTCTGGGTCGAGGCACTCCGTTCAGCCTGTGAAGGGGGCCTGGGTTAGCCATGGGCTTGGTCATGCACTGCGGCTGCGTTGGCAGTGGCGGGGGGAAAGTATATATACCAGAGTCGCAAAAGCCGTTTTACCGCTTCCGCTCGGGCCGACGAGCAGGAAGGTGGGCAGCTGGGCAGCAGCCGCAGCTTTTCTGTAGAGAAAGCTATGCACTAGTATTGGTAGCAACAGGGCGACGAGAAGCGTGACGATTATGGTCGTGGGGTGTGGCGCAAAGGCTGCCGTCAGCCAGCTGTCCTGATCGTACCAAGCCATGGTGGCGATGGGCGGGTGTGCCTGGGGGAGCAGCAGAGAAAGTGCTGTGGAATGGGGATAAGACAAGACAGGATAGGACAGGGTAGGGCAGGGCAGGGCAGGGTGATGGAGGTTGCAATGACGTGACAAGTATGGCAGGCCGAGACCGCGCAGTCCTGGTCCCGTCAAAGTTTTGGCCGCTGCCGCCGATCCTTGAGCGGATGTACGGCGGGGGGAAGGCGGAAAGACCCCACGCTAGAGACGGAGCGCTAGAGCCTACAAGAACCTCACCTCACCATCTCTCGCTACCATGTCCACTATGTCGCGGAACATTTCACAAAAAGCAAAAAACTGCGCTCCGAACCGTAAAACAAAACTGGGACCGCCTGCATTCGCACAACTACCACAAAGCTTTTAGGACGCTACATAATCATACACAACAGACAAGGGGCCGCCATCATCAGCCTTCGCGTGCACTTCCCATTCTCTCGTCTGCTTTCCCCCCACATTCAATGCCCAGCCCTGAATAACATATGTCATAACCATTCATTACTCACAAAACCCTAACTCGACATGTCTTCAAAGCCCATCGGCACACATACCCAAGCAGCCCGGCCAGAAACGGCCAAAACGGGCAAAGAGGGGGAAGACCAGATGCTTTTTCAACCCTCATGCGCCATGCACATACATAACCATGAGAGTGCCCAGTACCCATGCCTGCGTCTTCCTGAACACCTGTTTGCACACCTCTTTTATACCCCGAAACCGACTATCGTAAAAAAGAAAAAAAGAAAACATGAACCTGCAGATAGTACCCGGAAACGAAACAAGAAAAGTGAAATGAAATCGTGCTTTCGTCGTGCCATGAGGGGGTCAGTACCGCGACATGGTACATGATTAACAATAAGGGATGTGTGTGTATGTGTGTGTGAAGAGAAAAGAACGAAGCAAAAGCAAGCTAGCAAGGCGCCACTCACCACATACCCATTGCAGCTACAGCGCTTGGCCCACCCGTCACCAGTGACAGTATCACAACCAAGCATTTTGAGCACAGGTGTCCCAAATGTACTAATACTCTGAGTATTGCACTGCGGCCAGCATGCTGGTGCCTGACCCCCATGCAGCCTTTGTCGAGCGCAATGTAACATCCACGCCTCTCATACCGCCCATCTATACTCGGCCGTGGTGTGCATAACATCAGTCTGTGTGTCGTTCGCTCCGAGTGTAGTCCAAGTGCGGGGCGGTTGCGAGAGGAATCCATCCAATTTGTCTTGGCCAGGCCATCCTCGCTCTGTAACATCAACAAACAAAGCCGCCACAGACTCCGCAATTTCAATATGTGTGCGTTTGGACATCAGGGTAATAGCCCCGGCTGCTTTCTATGCCCTGGAATCGGCCACACCCTCCCCCTTGCCACGCAGCACTAGGATATTCTTCCTTGACCCTGCGATCTGGTGGCGGAAGTGTGCCTTCAAACTTGCTTGGGGTACTCTCGTAGATGGGAGCTGGGTAGTACGAGTAGTCTTGCGGCGGTTCCATCATCTTGCTGTCACTATCCTCGACCATTTGTTGGTCACCGACGATTCCTTGAATGTTTCCCCCACTCAAAGAGCTTGACGAACTGATTGAATGGCTGCCAACCGGACTTGGGTCCAGCGAGTATGTATTGCCGCGATACATGCTCCCGCCCATGCCTGTCGTACCACTACCAGACATGGCGTTGCCGTAGCTTGAGTAGGACGTGCGGCCGTTAGACCCTAACCCATGATGGCCGCTGCCACCCAAGCCTGAGCCAGGTGCACCTCTGGATGTGCTGGCATTGTGCGGGCCTTCGTTCTGGTAATGACTGGGCGACCGTCCCCGGACAACGACCGGATGGGACAAGCGGGCTGCCACCTTGACCCACCTTGGCCCATCCTCCTGCGGCTTCTGTACATTCGCCCACAGCTCTACAATCAGATGGTAGTACTGTTGTTGTGCTCGACGCTTGCCGTTGTTGGCTGTTGCCGATTTGAACTGGATGCGCTCAAACGAATGCTGGTAGTTGCTACTACCATGGCTTGTGGGAGAGTATTGCTGCGACGACTCGTTCTCGTTTTGCAGCGGAAGATGAGGGCCTACTACTGCCGAGGTTTGGTGGAAGCTGTTTAGTGCATAACTACCGTGCTCATGACTTTTGCCTGGTGGCGTCGGTGCCAGCGGCTCCTTCTTCATGGCTAGCTGAGGGCCCTTGTCGCGCTTTGGAGTATGCTGAATCAGCTCAATCGTCTTTCCCGATGCTCCGTCTACGGCAGCTCCAAGAGAAACAGCCATCGACTGTATTTGCTCGCTTTGATTGCCATTGTTCTGGTCTAGGTACAGACGTCCGTTGGGAGTCCATGGCGAGAGTTGATACGACACGTTCACAGCAAAGTAGTTCCGCCGATAGCAGGTCCATACGTGGTCGCTTGAGTAGAAGAAGCCCTTTTCGATCTTGGCGTCGAGGGTGGGTGTCACCGTGGTACCTTCGCAGACGATTGTGCCCCAGGTCGACTGTGCATTGAACGGCGGCGATTCAGTTGAACCGGTGGGCGATACATAGGCACTCACATGGTAGCCATTGTTGTAAGTAGTTAACGGCATGGTTGTCGGAAGTACGCTCCTGGGAGTGTCGGGCTGGGAGGTGTAGCCGGACAGATCGGAGCGAGGGGACAGAGTGTGTGGATATCTATGCATGGCAGATGTCCCTGTAGTATAGTTGTCTCTCGCCGATGAACCCATGGACGGTGACACAGAGTGGCCTAGCCCCGGTGATCTTGCTGTGGGTAACATGCCTGTGGACGGTGCATCATTTCTACCATGTAATCGTCAGCGATCGTGCATGCCCGTCGGGTTCCACACGCTCGAGTGCGAAATCTTGAAATACTTACAGTCGTCGAGTCGAGGACATGCTGCTGCTGTTCCCCCAGACAGGATTGAACACTAGGGGGAAATGGTTGGGATAAGTCGTTGCAACCGTGTGCGGAAAGGTTGCGTACGAGTGTGCTAGTGCCGAAGAAGCAGTTGAACTAGGTGAAGTACTAATCGATGCAGACCCTGAATCTGAGAGAGCCGCACTCGTCTGATAGCTACAGGCACGAGTCAGTCTGATTCACAAAACAAGCCATTTGACCAGAGCGATGCCAACGATAACCATGTGTAACCAGCCGGTAGGGTGGCACGATTTAAGTCGTCAAGCGGGCCAGGGGCGGTACGACATTACCGCAAGATTTGTCGTGTGATCAATACGACAGACCGGCCTGTTGGAAAGACCGAGTATGCCATGCATCTGATACGTGTGCGACGGCGATTATGACCAAGGACATTGACGACGTGTTTGTTTCGGAGTAGGGGAAGGCTACGCTTGGGCTGCACCGGGCAAGAGAGGCGTCGAGGGATGCAGGTTCGGGGGCCACAGGGCTAGGCAACACCACCGAGCCTGCCATGCCAGACGGGAAGAAAACAGCCAATGAGAGCTTTCATACTTACGCACTGTCGGGACGGTGTGTACCGTAGCAGCCTGCGATCGAGCCTTGGTGGAGACCGGCTGCTGGGTGTGTCAGGACTGGCTCGCGCCTGAACTGACCGGATACGCTTGCGAATGAGTTATGATGTGCATGCGCGCCAATATGATCGATATACCCTTCCTCCGAAGAGAAAGGGTTTTCCGATGCCAATGACGGCGGTGGTTGCAGCACTGCTTATCCTGCACGTCAGCCAATCGACTTCGCCCAAACAGTGTGCTGTTGAACAAGACGTGTGACAACAACGGGCAACATGCACAGGTGCGCAATCGAGCATAGATGAGGGCACGTGTGGGACGCCGTCGCACACGCGGCACGGCAACCGGGTGGCAGAGCAAGCGTGCAAGAGCAGGCTGTACGGATGGGCAAAATACCACGTCCGTAGCGTGCTGCTGTGAGAAGAGGGGTCGGCGAACAGCTGATGCACTGGACGTATCGTGGTGCAATATAGGAGTGAATGCAGGAATGACGGGCGTGGAAAGAGTGCGGAGAAGGGCGCAAGGTGACTGCTGGACGAGTGCAGCGCTTAGGGCCAACGACTGAGGGAAAGGGATGAGATGATGGGATGGCAATTTTTTTGTCCATATGCTGCATGGGGGGTTGGAAATACGTGTGAATCTAACTTACCTTGATTCATCATGGTATTGAGCAATCGACGCACTGCCGCTTTGCTATGTATGGTCGATGCCGAAGAGAGCCCGTGGGGGGGCAATGTGCCTTGCAAGCGACTCAATCTAATGCCGCCCTCTCTGCTCTGGAAATTCTGCACCGGAATCCCGACAGACTGGGTCCAATCCAATGGCGCCGGCAGTGGCGAGAGGATTCGATGCTGACAGAAATCCGCTACGGCCGAACTGCTTCGCACCGTGGCCCAAGATGCGGATCGATCAAGCGAGTCAGCGGCTTGCGTAGCGGTTCTAATGGTAAGTTTCGGCGCGCCGGGGCGGCTGCGAGAGGGTTGCTGAAACGGGATGGTGGTCAAGCCGGGCAAGCTCGTTTCGTGCCGCTGTTGGTTCGCTTCAGGCAATCTCTGTGGTTTAGCCGGCACAAGGGTGGAATGGATCCTCGATTAGCTGCCGCTGCGCTTTACTGGGGGAGCTAGGCTCTGTTGACTCTGATGCTCGGCCTGGGTAGAGTGCAGTAAATCAGAGCAGTCACCGCAGTGCGCCCGTTGGTTTGCACCTTGTATTTGCGAGGGACGCGCCGCTCAACTTGATGACGGAGATACTGCAACGCCTGTATTGGCCCCAGTGCTTCGTCTTGTCAATGCGCTGGCCGTGGCAACGGTGGAGGAGAAGATGGACCGACAGGCTTGGTTTTCTGAGGGACGTGTGATGCAGTGTAGTATGGGTTGATGTCACTCGCAGCGGCTGCGCGACGCCCTGAGAGTCGAACGGCTTGTCTCCGCAGAGTGAAAGACCCACAGTAGCGCTTTGTTTCTTCCCGTACTCTTCAGGAATCCGGGATGTCAAATTCAGAGCACAGACAGGTACAAATTGTAGCCCCGCCGTTGGATGCCAGAAGTTTCTGGTGGTGACAAATGTGGGAAGGGGACCACTCTGACGTTGTATACTATCAACTGTCAATCTCGCAAAGTCGAGTCAAGGCGTATGTCGCGCCACACGGTTTCGAACTTACCAGGCTATGCAGCCGTTTTCCAAAAAAGACTATGTGGCGTCGGCTGGTGTTCAATCGTGGCTATTGCCACAAGAATGCTGGCTTGTAGTCGAAGAGTGAGCAATCTACAGGCAACTCCGGGATCCGCGCTGATCGTCGACAGACAAAACGTGTGCTGTCTACCCCAGGGTGAAAGTTATCGAGTATAGCTTGGACAAACAAGGACAATACCACGGTCAAGTAGTAGTGGATACGAGCCTGGCTCGGTATGCGTAAGAATTGTACGGTGTAGGGGTTGAAGCATACATGCCCTGTGCTCTCTATTCGAAATTCATCTCTTGCTTTCGGGATGTTGCACAAGCTCACCAGGGTTAACAGCCCCGTGATCTATGAGGCTGGTAGGGTACCGGTTTGTGGTGTCAAGATAATGATTTGGAGGAGATTGCTGGAAATAGTGGGTCCGGGGAAGTGAACGATGACGGACAAGATAGGATATGGGAAGGGTATGTCAAGGATACCAAAGGCCGCCGAATAAGAGCGGGCAGTAGAAGTACTGTTGACAGGGAGACAGCGCTACAGCTCGATATGGGGTAGAAGCAGACTAGGGCCATGACGGATCTGCTGGCTCAAAGAAGAAGTGCCTGCCAAGTGAGTATGGGCGTGAGGCATGCATGGTAGGCGTGCCGGATCAAGATTCAGCCCCAAGCAAATCATCCGTATTGCTCAGACGGTGGCCGTTTTCTAGCACCACGGTAACATTTGCAAACTGCAGCAACGAGCCTTTCCCGAAGCAGGGAGTGAATATCTCCGAAGCCAGGGAGGGATCGTCTTCGCCAATGCCTAGATTCACAGAGCTCGAATAGACTTCTGGCCCTCGCTGAGCGTAGCACTCCCTGCTCTCTGGCCCACCGCCTCACGGCCCGTCGATTGGCTTGGCCAGCAAAGGCATCACAGTTCCGTGCAGCGATGCAGGAACATTGACTACAACAGCATGCTCCGATCGGGGCCCGACTCGACACGACAGGTTAACGACCGTAGTGCTGGGTCGTCGATGTTTCATCTCTGGGCCAGCCGCCCAGAA